TGCATTACTCTCACTTCCTTTCTTATTAATAGAAACGCCAAACCGCCCAGTAAATGTAAGGTGATATTATTTACATTATTTTTTATGGTAATGGGCAAGGGGTCCGGGCAAGCGTTACGTATTTTTTTAGGCGATCAAGCACAGCGTTACGGAGCGTTACAGAGGGTGCGGAGTGTCAAAAACCGAAAATTTAGCGTTACGTAAATAGAAACGACCCTGTCCGGTGAGGGAAAAGGAGTAAAGTTTGCAATCTTAGAAAGAACCGCGTAAGTTCAAGCCGGATTATTACTTAGTTTTCTCAGTTTCCCTGTTGAAAGAAATAAAACATGAGAGTTGAAATTAGGCAACATCTAATGTAGTAATGCTGATTGCAGGTGATGTCGCCCAACTGCATGTCGTAAATAGTAAATGTCAAACAAAAAAGGTGCAAATTTTTTCCCGAGCGGGTCATTAATTTTCCTCTCGCTTTAATATGAGGAACGAACGACATAAAAATCATGGATTGTTCGACCGAATCAAAAATTAGCTTCATTTGCAAGCTGGTTCAATTTCAAAAGTCAACATCTCTGACTTCGTGATTATAAAGCTGTTTTGAGACGTGCCTGATTTTCGAAATATTTTCCTGATTCTTCGAGTATAGGTTTATTGTTGTTACGACGGGCTTTTACGTGTCGCTTTGTATGTTACAAACATTTTTCATTCCATTTGTAGTCACTTGACGTCAGGTGGAATTTTCGCTTCATTGAATTTTTAAATGCACGATGCTTTCCAATTNGGGGGGGGGGGGATTACAAGATTGGCATTCTGTGAGGGATTTCTCGAGTAGTTGCTATCAGTAGCAACATGACAGTGAGTCTCACGGTTGTACTTTTGATCACCTAAGATGTACATTTTTCCGACAGAAATTCACCAGGAGCTTCAGTACTGCCGTGCTAAGGAAAAACTCCGTATGAGACTTCAAACGTCATATTTCCTTCAAAAAAGAACTTAGTGGGAAAATCATGAATATTTATTCCGCAGACAATTTTTTTCGTAATTTATTATAAAATATTTGAAAATCTCAAGGAAAAATATTCATGTCTCTCCTCAAATTCATATTTCACGAGTGCAATTTGGCAACGTTTGAAGCTTCATACAGCGCTCTTCCTCAGCACGGTAGAGTCGGTCCTAACTCTAAACGTATTTAGAATTTATATTTCATCGAAGAAAAGAAATATTTTACATAGTTTCACGTATTTTTCAATATGAAATTACGATTCCCTGAGGCAATATATTACCTCAATCTGACAGTGGCGTGGCGTGCTTTGCGATGTATCGATCGATCTGCCATTTAAACCCAGAAAAGAATCGACAAAAAGGGTGTTTGCAACTAACACCTGAATAATCAATTCTTTACCACAGCTTCAAACGGGGATATATCGATAAATCGATTTTTCACCCCCCGCCACTGCAATCTGGTGCAACCGATTAATTAACGTTGTTCTGCAAATGAATAACGCTTAATTTTTCGGAAAAACCGTAAAACTGGAGCCTCAAAATTCCTCAAGAATTCTTGAAATGATTAATGAGAGGAGGGTGGAGGGGACTCCGAAGACGATTAACGAAGCGACAAATTACCGCATTCGTCGCATATAACGACGGTGAAACTATCAAACCACGTATCTCGTTTGCGGTGTTTAAAAATCTACGCTCGCATTTTATTTTTTTGAAGTAGACCAAAGCAATATCATTCCTTGAAATTTTCACGGAATTTTCTCCGCACGAAGAGGAAAAATCACAGAAATTTTCAAGACTGGACGTTAAGTAGTTTTTCATTTAAAAAAAAAAGTATGACAGGAAGTCTGCGACGTCGCAAACCGAGATACGTGGTTTGGAAGTTTCACCATCGATAAGTAGGTACACGGCTTCCTCTCCAGAATAATAAACCAAAACCGCGCATGTCTGATCTAATTTCGCTTGCAGATGGGCGTTTCTCGACAAACTCGAGGATCGACTTCTTGAATCTCGGCAATGGCGTGCGGAGCGTAATTGTCGAAGATTGCAGAGCCTGCACAAGGAGAGGCGAAAGTGTCATTCATTAAAATTAATTCCGATTACAATCTTGAAAGTAGTTGTTGTACCAGTCGTCAATTGTCGTTGCAGGCAGAAGCCAGATAAAGTCGCATGCAAGCCCTGGTAAAATTGACAGTAGAATCTGTGTTCCAAAATACCATAGACCTACGGCCGGCTGTAAGATTTCCAATAGCTTCTATGGCCGGCTACACAATTTCTTATAGCCTTTTATAGCCGATGGCGACTAAGCAGCAGCTAGGCGATAAAGTGTATGCTAAACGTTACTAATTACGGATGCTAGGACTTAGTGAGTTTTTGGACTACTGCTCTCTTTTTGGGCCGTAGTATCTTGATTTATTTTGCGAAGAAAGCTCCGTACTTTTGATGGATGCCTGCCAGTCCAAATATATTAGAGCGCCTTCAGTTTCGTATGATACTGTGCAATACCTCTGGTGTGAAATAGTTGCTTCAAGCGCCGTGGCACGCTGCGGCGCGGCGCACCGGGCGGCCAGCTCGAAACGCGCATTGGCGCCTACAAACCTAACAGGGATACCTCACGCGTTGCGCAATGCGTGAAGTATCCCTGTTAGGTTTGTAGGCGCCAGTGCGTCGCCGCTCCGCTTTGTGTTAGGTTCTAATATTTAAACTCATAGAGTGAGCGTTTTTCAACTCATGACTTTGAAATGTTTGCACATCCTGTATGGATTATTCTCATTTTAATTGATGAAAAAAAATATGTATTAAAGGAAAATATAATGAGTGTTTTGTAAATATTAAGGTGGTTCTGTATCAAACTTAATGATTTCCAAAGCACACAAATTTCTACACAATTTCTTATAGGCTTTTATAATCGATGGCGAAAAAGCAACAGCTAGGCGATAAAGTGTAAAGCCCGGCGAAAGGAACTATAGCCCGGCTGCATAATTTTTTATCGCATCGTATAGCCCGGCCGTATGATTTTCTCCGCATTCTACAGCCAGCTATATGATTTTCTATAGCTTTCTTTAACCGGCTATAAAAATTCCTATGGTATTTTGAAACGCAGCTCTTATCGCCAATTTTTACCAGGGAGTTTGAATAAATTGAAAGAGTCAGAGCCAAAAAGAAATAACTGCGCTGCGACCTGGCAAAATTACACTCGATCATTTAATGACGGTAACACTCCATAACCACGTATCTCCTTTGCGGTGTTTACAAATCTCCACCCCAATTTTATTTTTTTAAAGGAGAAAAAATCATCATCATTCCTGGAGGTTTTTTCAAAACTTCCTTCGCACAGGGAAAAAAAAGTCACGACATTTTTTCAGTATTGACGTTGAGTAGTTCTCCATTGAAGAAATAAAAAATGACAGGAAGTCTGCAACACTGCAAATCGAGATACGTGGTTTGGAAGTTCTACCGCGACCACCGTTATTCGTTTCATTAGGGGTAGGTAACTGCATATTTTCATTTGAGTTTTCGTGTAAAATTCCCTCGTGGTTTGAGCGAAATCCTACCAAAATTTTGATGTATGACTAGTTAATGAGTAAATAAATAGGTTATTTAGTGCAACCTCACAACCTTGCAGTGCAATTAGGGGGGAGGGTCGTAAAAACTTAAGTTGAATTTCGGATTTTCCGACCCCCTTGTATATTACTTTCCCTAATTTTCTCCTGGTCATTTTTTTTTTTGTATTATTTTATTTATTATTTTACTTAGGAGAGAAATGAACAGCACTGCCTGCCTTGGGGCATTTGGCCAATATGAAAACTTTTTCTTGCCGAAATTTTTCGTCATGCTTTACTGATTACTACGACCATTTCGAGCTAATTACTCATCGTCAGGTAATAATATCGAAGAAGTGAAAGCTAAATTTGTTTAAAAAACGGTGTTTGGTTGAAAAACAGGATCTGTCCGAGATTAAGAAGAATATACTCAAAAAGTTCAAGTTAGAATCTTCTTCTTTTTCTTTGATCGGGCAATATCGGATGAAGTTAGGCTAATTCAGGTTGAACTGTCGGATTAAGATGCACGATAAGGTTATCCGATTGCTTTACACTGTGAAAAAAAAAGTATTTCCTCAATAATTTTTAAGCATGTTAAATGCATTGATCTCACGGCGGCCCCAATCCTCTAATGCTCCGGAGGTTATGTAATTTACGTCACAAAGCCGCAAACTGGACAACCGCACCGAATGACAACTACTTAGATCCGCCGCGCCGCGGTGGCGATACATTAGTTCTGTCAGTTCAAATCGCCTTCATTTAAGCGATTAGGCAACAAACTACTCAGGAGCGAGAATAGTTGCGCTATGCCAATCGCGCACGGCGCGCTCAATTCGAGACGTATGTTGTAGTTCCAGTCATTAGATTGACATCACGCCGAACTGTCACAAAGATTTGAAAAAGTGAAAGGAGCGTTCTTAGGTCTACAAATTGCGCGGAAAATACTGTCTATAATTTATTCGTCGTATTTTGAAAATGAATGAATTTTTTTATTTGCAGTGCTAGTCGCTTTAAATTTTTAAAATGATTTGCACTGTCAAAAGCATAATTGGAAGTCTTTAAATAAAAAAAAGTATTGGGCAGTATTGTATTGGTGCTAATATCGTCATTTCGAGTTGTTTCGAGCTGAGATTCTTTACCCTACAGACAGTTGAATCAATTAGAACGAAAACACACTAACTCGAAAAAATGAAAATAATCGAGATACAAACAAAACTGCACAGTAAGTGAGGAAGTTAGTCTTAGAAAGAGATGTTTGGTGCCGAAGGACAAGTGTTTCAAGGCCACTTTGAAGGTCTAAGCGGGAACAGATGCGCTAACTTCAATGACCTTTATGAAAATTGAGCATTCCCGAGTTACAGAGTTGGCACGTTTTCGTTCTCACTGATTCACGTACTTTTAATAACTTTATTTCATTGACATTTTTTCACGATTTAATTTTATTTGATTTATTTTTGCTTGCAGCTTTTCAACAAAATACGAGAAGAACACCCGGAGAGGCTGAAAAAGATAGTCCCGTTGAAGGGTGACGTAATCATGGACAACCTGGGGCTGGACGAGAAGTCAGAGGATGCCATCATCAACAACGTCAACATTGTGTTCCACGGTGCAGCCGTCCTCCGTCTGGACGCTCCACTCAAAGACTCAGTCTGCATGAACGTCGAAGGAACCCTCCGAATCTTGAAACTCTGCAGAAACATTAAAAATTTACAAGTTAGTCGACATCATTACTTGCTTTAAACATTACTACATCGACGGTGTAAGTTCGCAACCACGTTATCTCGTTTGCGGTGTTTGAAAATCTCCGCTCTTATTTTATTTTTTTTAAAGGAGAACAAATGGACCGAATTTATCAGAAAGGAACCAACCCACATTGCAGGGAATTGAAGTTAAATTGAGTTAAGAGGGTTACCTATCGAGTTCCACCGGTCGTTTATTTTCTCCTGCCAAAATCTGAAAGTCGAAAAAAATAAATTACACTGCAAAAAAAAAACACTGGATCTAGAGTCCAGGCTCATGAAAACATTAACAAGAAAAAATACTCTTGATTCAATCGGATTTTTGCTTGAATCAAAACGAAATCCGCTTAAATTAAGAGGCTTGGTTCTTGATTTAAGCTAGATTCTGATTGAATCAAGAGTACTTTTTCTTGTCGATGTTTTCAAGAGTCTAGACTCTAGATCCAATGTGTTTTTTTTTTCCAGTGTAGTTTGTGAGAAGAGGGGTTGAAGTTCATTTTCTATATTGAGCCTTATGAAGAAATGAAACTTCAAACCTCTTTTTCTCAGTTTCAACTTAATGTGGGTTGGTTCCTTTCTGATGAACTCGGTCCAAACGAGGGGCTTGGGGAACGATGCGCATAATTGGACTTATCTCTATTTCGAGAAATAGGTGTTTGAAGTTTCGAAATTACATGGATCCTTGAGGTGGAAAGAAAATTCAAACTGACTTTTTGATGCTTAAAAATTGGAATTTGGGAGCGAATTTTCACACAATATGCATTTCGACTAGTCTTACTTGAAATCATTAAGATCTCAACTAATGTACCTATTTCAAAAACTGCACTAAAGCGGCATGCCCTCCAAGCCCCTCAAATCGACATTATTCCTTGGATTTTTCGCAGAGTTCTCTTTGTACAGAGAAGAAAAAACGCAGCAGTTTTTAAAACTTATTGCTGAGTTTTTTCCCATTTAAAAATAAAGTATGGCAGGAGGTCTTCAGCGTCGCAAACCAAGATACGTGGTTATGCGGATTTACTCAGTCATTACATCATTACATCATTACATCATTTACATCATTACATCCACTTGTCACCCTGTAAATAGCGATGATCACGATGGGTCGTGATTCCGCTGCAATCCGACGATAACGGTCCCGTAAATTCCACCACTTGACAACACTGCTGTGATGAAACAAGGCTCATTCGAACTCTGAAGATTTCATAGTGGACACGTTTGTAAATGTAAAGTATAGAAAATTCATGAGAACTTATAATCGCAGCCATACGTTGCGAGGCCAAAACGCCTGCAATTTTCAGTGTATGCAACACGGACATCCCGAGAACACGAATAGTTGCATCCAGACCCAGCCACTGAAAAAGCTGGAGCGCCTTCAATTTTTTCTGCTTGTGATAACAAAATGTGTCACTGATTGCATTTATACGTTGTCGTTGCACAAAGATAGGGTGGTTTGAGTATTTATACAATATAATTGAAGAAAGAAGTTAGTGAATTAATAATAGATAAATAAATAATATGGAGAGCATTTATGCGGCAATGGCTCGCCTGGCTATTCACCATCACATGCTTAACCTTCTTCTGAATATTCTCATATATAATTTCCTTGGACAAGTCGTCACCTTCCAGGCAAAGTATCACAAGCGCCATGTGACGTATAAAAATTTCCGCCGCCATTTTATTTCTTTACTGAGAAATTGTTGGTTGAATCTGTTTGGAAATTTCACTAAATTTTATCGGCAGCACAAAGAAAATTCAGTGAAATTTTCGGACGGCTTCGTTGAACAATTTCTCTGTAAAAAAATATAATGGCGGCGGAAATTTTTGAACGTCGCATGGCGCTTGTGATACTTTGCCTGGAAGGTGACGAAGTGTAAAAAATGCATCCTTTCAATTATTTACTATATATTCCGTATCTGACAAAATTGCCAAACATGCAGTGCAATTACCTGGAAAAGGAGCTGAATCACGACCTGTCGTGATCATCGCTATTTATAGGGTGGCAAATCAACATACATTTGAAAATTCCCCGACTTTTTGGATATATATTTGAACACTACAACAGGGCCAGATTTACCTACTTTCCGCCCATGGGCCGCCTGTATTTTGCCGCTCCTTTCTCATTTGTTTTGAAACATCAATAAAAACCATCAAGTGAACGTGCCGGAAGGAGAGGGGTGCATAAGATGCGTTTACTCTCGTTTTGGACACATTTTTTGCGAAAGCCCTGTAATGTCAACACTGCTGTCAGAAGTTCACGGAACTTAGCGGAACTTTGAGAGTTAAATTCCATAAACCTATCTCTGTAAGGATAAGGCCTTCCATTCATAAGAAATGAACGAAAAAATTATGGAAGAACAAACATAAATGAGGTTTTATAATCTTAACTTCCACCGCCGCGCCGCGCTGACCGCACTGTGTTTGGCACAATGCGTGAAGTATTCATACAGTCTTGTAAGCGCTATGCGTTTCATGCCGACCGCTGCGCTGGGCGCACTGTTTTTGACGCAATGCGTGAAGTATTCATGCGGAGTTGTAGGCGCTGATATGTGTTACATATGGATCGCTGCGCCGAGGGTTTCTCCTTTTCATCTCAAGTCCTCGTCATTAATGCTCTCTGCACCGCGCCTCTACAGGTCAAATTGCGTGTTTAATTTCTCTATATTAACTCGACTAATTAAAGGAGCAGTCTCTTGTATCACCGAAAGACGACAAAATTAGTAATTACTATACTCTCAGGAAATGATAGATTTTGTCGCCCTCTCTCGTTTGTAATTTTTTTTCTGAATCCGATTCTTTTTATACCTACATTTAAAAAAATTGCAAAATTTACCGCCCCCTAAATTTGCCACCATGGACCGAAACCCATGTGGCCTAAATCCGGCCATGCACTACAATCTTCGACTTCTCCCTGGTTTACGACGTTTTTTGCCAAGGTTCCTGCTAAAAATTCTAATCACAAATAATTCTGATCGTGAAGTATCATGAACGTTAAAAATGCAGTGTTTTGGCACAGTAGTCTTGGAGCAAAAAAAAAAAAAATGCGACAAAAAGTTATCCAAAAACAGTTTGCACGGGGTGAGTCTATGGTGAGTGTAAACTTAAAATCGCGAAAAATCAAAATCTCAGGTGATCCTATTTTCGAAATACGCGCTTTGAAATTTTCATAGTAAATGCAACTTTTCTACTGATCTTGATCCACTTTTTATTTATTTGTACATTGAATCGGTGTTGATCGGTTCACGTTTTTATTTTTTGTTCGAATCATGTCGATCGAATACATGCCCTCTCTTAACACGCACACTTCCTATCATACTCTTTTTTTTAACCGAAAAAATTGCCTTCTGCTGCGTCTGCGGCAATTGTTGTTACGAGTATGCGGTGCGTGCTGGTTTCAGGTAATTACATACTCGACTCTTTGAAGGCGTTTTGTGTGCGAGAGCAATTCGCCAGTTCTCCAACAGGGTGCGCCACTTGCGCTCATAAATCGCCTTCAGAGTGTCGAGTATGTAATGACCTGAGATCAGCACGCACAACACATTCGTAACAACAATTGCTGCGGGCGCAGCTGAAGGCGAATTGAAAACATCAGTATAATACACATTGAAAAATATTTTAGCTCTTTATTTAATATTGTTGCCAATAGACAGTTGTATCTCATGGTCTGTTTATGGGAAATTCTCGAAAAACTTTTCACGATAAACTCGAGAGAAATGTTTTCTCTCCCGACTACCTAGTTGCTCAGGAGAGAAAACATTTCTCTCCTTTGCACCGACTAGTCACTCAGGAGAGAAAACATTTCTCTCCTAAGTACTAACCAGTTCCTCAGAAGAGAAAAAATTTCTCTCCTCTGCACCGACTAGTTGCCCATGAAAGAAAGAAATTCTCTCCTCTGCACTAACTAGTTGTTTTTGAGAGGAATTTTTTCTCTCTCGAGCAACTAGTTTGTGCTGAGGAGAGGAATTTTTTCTCTCTCGAGCAACTAGTTTGTGCTGAGGAGAGGAATGTATCCGTTCCTAACCACAAACTAGTTGTACGGTACGCACAACATATTCGTAACAACAATTTCTGCGGACGTAGCTGAAGGCGAATTGGAGACATCCGTATAATACACGTTGAGTAGCTCTTTTAGCGTTCTTTTAGCTCTTCAATTAATATTGTTACCACCAGAGGTCTTTTTATGGTAGATTCTCAAAAAAATGTTCATGATAAATTAAAGATGAATGCAAAGTAAAATATACCGCGCTACGCATTTTCAGTCGTAACAGAATTTAACCAAGATTCAATCAACTTTGAATTCCCCTTGAAAAAGAAAACCGAGAGGTACAAATTCAGTACACAACAAAAAGGAAAGTCTTTTGATNTGGGGGGGGGGGGTTGTTGATGGTGCAGTTTCGTAGTTCGCTTGGGATATCAATTAAAAATGGAGCATAATTCAAATATTAATTACATACACATTTGTGTATAATTTAGGAATGATTCCATGCAATTCAGGCGATCTTTGGTGTAAGAAGTTTTTAGAGAATCTCCCATAATAAGACCATAAATACAACTCTCTCGATGTAATCATATTAATTAAAGAGCTAAAATGTTTTTCAACGCGTATTATACGGATTTTTTCAATTCGCCTTCAGCTGTGTCCGCAGCAATTGTTGTTACGAATATGTTGTGCGTGCTGATCTCAGGTCATTACATACTCGACTCTCTGAAGGCGTTCAATCCCTATTTCGTTGGTTCTCCGACAGACTGCGCTAATTACGCACATAAAACGCCTTCAGGGAGTCGAGTATGTAATGAGTTGAAATCAGCACGCACAACATATCCGTAACAACAATTGCTGCAGACGCAGCAGAAGGCTAAAAATAACAGCTTGCTCAGGATAGAAAACATTTCTTTCCTTTGCACCGACGAGTTGCTGAGGAGAGAAAACATTTCTCTGCTTCGCACTAGGTGTTTAGGGGAGATAGGTTTCCTCTCCTAATCATGGACTGGTTGCTTCTTGGTACGCAGGTTCCTACCATGGAACCATCCGTTCCTAAGCACAAACTAGTTGCTCAGGAGGGAAAACATCGCTTCAACTAAAAGTGTCAAAAATGGTTTCCTTAAAAAAAACATTTTTACCCACAGTTTTTTTAAGAGCTCTTGAAAATAGCTTTTTAGATGTCATTGCTACTAGGTCTCATAAAGACGCTGAACTCTGAAGCTCACCTTCTTGTCTTAATATTCGAATAGAAGCTCATTATAGTTGTATGCTCTCTTAATATTCTTCAACAGTAAACGCAACATTCTTCTCGACGTTAGAATAATGTAGCTTTGGATGGTTTCAGGCATTCGTTCACTTGTCAACGGCGTTCTGTCATTGCGACCACGAAATCCTGGAGGAGAGAATGTACCCACCACCAGCGCAGCCCCTTGACGTTATCAGCCTTACTCACTGGATGGACGACGAGTGCCTAAAAATGATCACTCCAAAGTAAGCAAACTCTCTCTCGGCATTGATCTCTCGTTCCTCTTTTTTAAAAAAAAATCAGTCAAGATTTCTTCTTACGTTCCGCAGATTCCGCGTCATATAGGTAATCCTTATTTGAACGTATTTCCTCTAGACGGAACCAGAGACAGGTCGTCACCTTCCAGGCAAAGTATCACAAGCGCCATGCGACGTTTAAAAATTTCCGCCTACATTTTATTTTTTTACAGAGAAATTGTTCAACGAAGCTGTCCGAAAATTTCACTGAATTTTCTTTGTGCTGCCGATAAAATTGAGTGAAATTTCCAGACAGATTCAACCAACAATTTCTCAGTAAAGAAATAAAATGGCGGCGGAAATTTTTAAACGTCGCATGGCGCTTGTGATACTTTGCCTGGAAGGTGACGAGGTGGGAAAGAAGAAGTGTGCTCGTTGGTTCTCGGGCCGTAAGAATGAATGGGAATTATAAAGCGCCAGTGACGTCAGAGGCGACACGAAAACGGGGACGCACACTGACGAGTCTCTTCAACTCATGAGCCCTGTCCACAACGATCTTGTCACATGCCCACGGCTCGTAACTAAGTCAGCATACAGTTGGCACTTAGTTCCATTTGATTGAACGTAAAATCCATTTCCACAAAGGAAATTACGTCCACTTCTCCCTTATTTCTTGTGCAACTCCACCACGGGCACACCTCATCTTTTCCGCACGTCTCTATTTTCGTTTAGGAGAAATACGTCCATTTATTGTTCATTCACGATCGAGAAACCCCTCTAATTATGGGCTGTATACTCACATATACGGGCTGATCATTAAAATCGATGGACAAAGCAAAATAGACAAGGAGGGCAAAGAGAAAATTGAGTGATCCTATTGGTTGAGGAGGATGGCTGCGATGGACAAAGGAGGTGAGTAATAAACTAATGGCAATCCACAAGGGAATCTACAGCTAATTCATCATTTTCCCGCTTAGTCTATAAAAACCACCTGTTTTAACCAATACGATCGCTCCATTTTCACACTGTCCTCTTTATCTATCGCATTGTTTACCCAATTCAATAATCAGTCCTCTGCTCAGAATATTTAAAGCAAATTAAGTGTCACTAATAACATCTTATGAGGAGAGAGCGCCCCGAATTTTTCATTTTCAATCGACAACAGAATTAAAAATCGCGCCGGTTGTCGGCGGGGGGTTGGACTGCAAAGCGGCCCAGGGGTGTACCCCCAAGTTCAAAGCGGCAAAAACTGCCCTGAATCTTTGTTAAAAGACGACGAGCCGTGAGGCTTTGCAGAAGCGCTAATGCCTGTTCAACCCGCGGATAAATTAATTTTCTGATGCGTGGGAGAAAATCGCCTTCAAATAGTTGAGTATGCAACTTCACGACGGTCGTGTTAAAATAGTTATCTGTCGAATCCATAGGGAAGTTTTGAAGGCGCTGCTTGTGAGGGAACTAAGCACGAGCAAATCGGACGCAAAATTGCAGTTACACGTGGTTACGACTGATCAATTTTGTTTTTCTTTTATTCACAGGGGTTAGTGAAAAGTAAAAATTGCCAACTCATCTTTACCTAAGGTTAGAGCATGAGGTTTTTCTCTTTGTTTTTTTGTCGCGTAATTTCTACATTATTTAACTATGATACCTATACTAATAACCATGATTAAAAATGTTTGTTCCCAGGTTATTGGAGCCACATCCAAACACTTACACATACACGAAACGTTTGGCAGAGAAATTGGTTGCCGATGAATTCCCTAAGATGCCTGTTGCCATTGCGAGGCCGTCCATAGGTTTGAACAAAAACAATTTAAATCACATTTAGCATAAAGAAACCAGCGCGACTACAGTGTTATAAAAATGTTGCTTCTTCATAATAATCTTACATATCTCCCAGAATAGCAAAAAGTTTTCACTTCCAAAAAAAATTGTTAATTTTGAAGGAAAATAATTGTGTAAATATTATAACCGCGCACACATAAAGTGTTTTTGAAAGAAAAGAAAAATTTGCACGATTTTGAAAACACTGTAATCGCGCTGGTTCCTATTATACAATATAATCCATTTATTTAAAAAAAAATTGATAATAATAAATTCTAGGACTCTTAACAACAGCCTGCAGCAGTGAAACTCGATCTTATTAATCAAAGAATTTGCCTAAAATCTAGGACTCGGATTTGGAGTTTGCAATAATTGAGTACATTGCCTAAGATAGTGACACACTTTGCAGACAATTTCTGGGAAAATTGTGTCAGCCCCAGTATCAACGTGCAATGAAGGGGCGAGAACGAGATAGGTACGCATTTCTGCACTTAAGCTCGAGGTACGCGAGAAAAGTTCCACTGTTTTAAATGACTTCCCGATTTTTTCGATTATAGTCTCTTGCTGGCAGCTAGACGACATCCTCAACGACATTTATGCAGCTAACTCAAAACTGTCAAAAATCGAGATACGCACTTCTGCACTTTCACCATCGATATATTTCAAAAACGGCTGCAAAAAATTCAACTTTTGGGTAGGGAATTTAGTTTACCTTAAACAACGCATCCAATAATTTCTTCATTTCGTCCTCTTGTTCCTTTGAATTTCAGTGTGTCCTGCAGTAAGCGATCCGCTGCCTGGGTGGGTAGACAACTTGAATGGTCCGGTGGGTGTCTTGATTGGAGCAGGAAAGGGTGTCATCAGGACAATGCTGTGCGATGGCAGGTATCATGCAGAGATAATTCCAGTTGACATGGCCATCAACGGAATCATAGCCGTCGGTTGGAAAACAGCCACCACAGTCCATAAGTGAGTATGCGAAGGAAGGAGGTGAAGGAAATTACCCCATTTTCTTGACCTGATTTGACTTGAGAGAAATTATGCCACTTAAGATTAGGGGTATCTAAATCATTGATGTTTAAAATAACGGTGTAACTGAGGCAAACTTTAAACACCCAAATCAAAATCTCCCCATGTACCCGAGCACAGATTGCAAAAAGTAGCAAAGTGCATACTGAAAATATTGCAATTCCATTGCGTGTTGTGTATGTTGCCTGGCTCCTATTTGAAGGGGCCCCATTTATTGAAACTTACTGCAGTAAAATTGAAGTAAGTTGCAATTTTTCGTTGCATTGCATATTGCCTATCTTTTTGACACATGAAACTCATTTTGCTGATTTTTTCAAATCGGTATAAATCGACTAAATGATGTAAAAATAAAAATATTGCAATTCAATGGTAAAAAAATTATATGATTTGATTAAAATCAAATTTCAATTTAATTTCAATATTTTCGTTGCACTGTGCTACTTAGATAGCAGAGTTTTCAAAAATAGGAATTTAATAGTGAAAAATGCTAATTGAATAGCTATTAAAAATTCAAAAATTAGGTAATGAAAAGTCAAAAATAGTTGTCAAAAATAGCGATCTCATAGAGATAAATTGCGATAGAATAGCTATTTCGTTTTCAAAAATCCAACATGACTATTTATAGCAAGTTTGTACTTCACACATGTGGATTAAAATCGATGATTAGTGGAAGTTTCATGTTCATGGCAATAAATAGACAATAAATTGGATTACATTTTGCAATAAGGAAGCACTATTTCTGGCTCTCCCATAAAAGCACATATCTGCATAGGAAAACCAGTGGTATGTATGTTGTTTCTAAAATGGGCCAGAAATAGTGGTTCCTTATTGCAAAATGTAATCCAATTGACCGTAAATTGCTTATTTATCTCTATCAATCTTGAAATTCTGCTACATGGGACTTTTCAGTCATGGACTTTACATGGGACTGCTCAAGGACTTTTCAGGAGTTCTAATTACTTAGTACTCAAACTCTAAGATTTTCAGGAACTTACAAAAAATTCACCGAATTTAAAAAATGCCATGAAAATGGAGTTGGGTATCCTAAGGATACCTTTATTCACTTTTTTCTGTGTAAAAAGGCATATAATTGCTGAAGTCATGAGAAGTTAGCGTTCTGAGAGATAGCTATTGCTAATTGATCTTTCATTTATAAAATGGAGTACTACTGAATATTGAAAATCATTTTACAAATGAGAACAGTTTGACAAATTGCAAAAATGAAGAGGTGATCAGAGAAATTTAGCACTTTCGAGAAAAAAAAATTTATACCACCCACACGATCCACAAGGAAAATTACATTTAGATTTTTCTAGTATTAGATTAATGGTAGCTTCTTGTTATTTTATTTCTTTGACTTTCTACAGGGAAAAAGAAATACCTGTATACAATTTAACACAACACAACGCAAAGCCAATCACCTGGGGACAAGTCTTGGAAAACGGAAAGAAAATAGCCTACGAGAATCCTTTCGAAATGATGCTATGGTACCCAGACGGAAACATTAGAACCAACAAATTCATTCACAACCTTTGCCTATTCTTCTTCCATTGGCTCCCCGCTTACTTCATCGACTTCATGATGCTGATTTTCGGACAAAAAAGATTGTAAGTAACATGAGTGGCCTGATCAAATTTTCAAAACAGCAAATATGGTTATAGGACATTTCGTCAACGATTTTTTGTCCGCGCACCTGTTTTTTCCGGTAGTTTACGTCCACGAGTTTTTTCGGAAGGGGAATTTGGTCCACTTACCACTTGAGACCTAAAGTTAATTGGTCCACATGTAAATACAAACGACAATTGCTTACGACGTTTTTGGATGAAAATGTTTGATATCTTGGAAGAATGAGGGTTTGCTTGTTTTTTATTTGTTTGTTAGTTCCAACGAAGAAAAATATATAATTGAGTTTTTTGGTAAAAAATGAGGGAGCGTCATTTCCATGAGAGAAACTTCACTAAAACTCTCTACACCTCTTTGGTGCAACAGGACTTAATTATCTTACAAGAAAATCCCATATTTTTATACCTGAACCGGAAAACCTTTTGATTTGCCTCAGCTAAAAGATCTCACATTTTTCTTGTGCATGATGACTTCGCTTCGGCACTGGTTTGCCGCAGCGCTTCGAGCTACTTTTTCGCCACGGAGGTGTTGCACAGTATCATATGAGATCGAAGGCACCCCAACGTATCATGATTGATGGCATCTCTCAAAAGCACGAAGTTCCCTCGCAAATTAAATGGAGTGACGACAACAAAAAGAGAGCGGTAGTAGAAAAACTTACTGTCCTAGTATCTGTATTTGATAACGTTTAGTATGATTTTTAACTTCATTAGAGGAACAAGAAGTGACCTAATTTAAGGAGAAATATCCTTAAATTTACCGCTGAGAGGATTTCCTAATGAGTTAATAAAGAAAATAATGTTTTCTTAAAGAAGAAAAGATGCTTTTATAAAAAGGAAAGTCACTTACATCAAGCAGAAACCCGCTTTTGTTCATCTATTTTATTCTTGATTCAAAATAAAATCTTCTTGACGGCATTACTCAAGAATGTTTCTTCATCTCTCTTATCTCGACTTATTTTGCAAGGAAAGTTCCGTACTCTTAAAGGATGCCTGTCATTCTTATTGTTGGTATGTTGGAGTGCCTTCAATTTCGTATAATACTGTACAACACCTCTATTGTGAAATAGTGAAGCGCCGTGGCACGTGGCACGCTGCGGCGCTGCCAGCCAGCCAGCACGGAACGCGCATTGGCGCCTTCAAACCTAAGGGATACCTCAAGAAATGCGCAAAGATTGCGCAATGCCTGAAGTATCTACTTAGGTTTGTAGGCGCCAGAGCGCGTTACGTGCTGGCAGCACGTCGCATCACTCCGCTTTATGCTAGGGCCTATTATTTAAACTCGCGGAGTCAGTGAATTTCAGCTCATGATTTTTATATGTTTGCACACTCTGCATGGATTACTTTAATTTAAATTGATAAAAAAATATATATAAGAGAGGAAAATTTAATGTGTGTTTTGTGAATATTAAGGTGTTTCCTTGTCGTATTTAGTGATTTTCAAAGCACATTAATTTTTTCTTTTATAATTTGTGCTTTTACTGTGACCAAGTCACTGTTGCTTATTTCACGCGTGGACGAAACTACTGGACAAAACAGGTGTGCGGACAAAAAATCGTTGACGGAATGCCCTGAAGCCGCAAATAGGGAGTATGTAATATAATTTGAAATCCTAAAAATTCAAGACAGGTTAAATATTGAAATGTTTTTTCCAATTATAATCATGAGAGTTACACACGTTTTAAAAGTCCTTCCCGTTTCTTCTGGTTTTCGTTGCGATTGAGGGGGGGGGGGGCGGTTCAAAAACAACTTTAACATACCATTCAGAATGGACAATTTTTACGAACCTCTGGTAAAATTCAACTAGAAAAATTTAAAGAAGGAACCGTGCAGATTTTTGTCAAAACTGATGTCTTTTTTGACAGGAACTATGATCCAAAAATATTTGGATACTTTGAGCACAAATTACAAAGATTTTAAAATAAATCTTGAGGTTTTATACTAAAATCTTGAGGAATTTACCTAATTATCTTAAGAGAGGATTGTATTGATGGTTGAGGTAAAAAAATACATACCTCTATCCAAAACCTTTCCTTAAAGGTTTCTGGAGATGTTATTCAAAGAGAAAAAACTTCACGGAGATTTTTAAAATTAACTTTTGGCTCATTTTTTCTTAAAGAAGCAAATCATGAATGGAGTTGTGGAACATTTAAATCAGAGAAATACGTTTTTTAAGTTCATCCATCAATATGGCATATTCTAATCTTCAAGTTGCAAGATAAGCAATGCAGACATGGCATAATGCACTTGATAGTAATAGCTGTCTCGAAAAAATGTCTTTGTACCTTCCTTTTCTGTTCTTTATTTCCATTCAAAGTATTAACAACACTTTTTTCCAGTATGCTGCGTATACAAGGTAAAATTTCTGACGGTCTCAAAGTCCTGCAATACTTCACAACCCGGGAATGGCGATTCTTAAATGACAAAGTCATAGCATTGCGACATTCAATGAGTCAGGTAGATCAGGACCTATTCTTCCTCAACTTTGAAGACATAGAACCTGTATCATACGTCAAAACCTGCATCCTCGGGGCGCGAGTATACATACTAAAAGAGCCACTGTCTTCCATACCTCGGTGTAGGAGAAACCTTAAGATGTAAGTACCTAATTAAAGCTTAAAGTTAATCTATGCTTGTATCATTAGTAGCATCCTTACTTGTACGTTTGTCTTTATCATGACTCATGGACCAAGACCATATTCAAAATCAAGGACATCGACTCAATCAAATCTTGGACTTTCCAGGATTTTCTAAGGAATTATCCATGAAGTTTTTCAAATAATTTCTAGGACGTAAAAGAGAGTTGATAGAGGCTCAGGAGAAAGCCTTAGGAATAGAAGTTTCCTCTTCCTAAATCTTCATTCTAAGCTACTCGCCCAAAAAGAAGCAAATATATTAAGTGCAAACAACACTATTTGACATTTTGGAGGTCTCTATGATGAAAGAAGAAAAGTTTATGTTCCAAACGCATGCCAAAAAATAAATTGATGATATGAAATAGAAAAACTTTCGGGTAGGTACAATCGGAGAATTTCCTACAACATATGGGTATTTAAAAACTTAAAATTCTTTGAAAAATTGAGTTTATGAGTGGACTTCACAAAGCGTCATGAACTTTGATGGTAACATGTTTCAAAGGAGTAATGAGCAACTGATAATCTTATAAATACTTGTGATGATTTCTAATGGCAAAGTTGATAGTAAAGGATGCTGCTCTGAGCAAAATGGACTCTAAAATTTGGAGGCTTGTAGTTCAGGACATTGTCTACATTTGTGGAGCACTCTCCTTATTCACTTTCCTTTAATTTGAGAAAAATGAAAGAGAGTGCATGCCGTGTAGCCCATTTTGCTACAGCACGCAATCTTCAACTTAACATGTATGCTCGTAAATGAGTGTAACCTTGGAGAATCTGATTTTCGGCATTAATTTATTATTCATAAAAAGTTGATGAAAAGAGTTTCGCCAAAGTACTCCTCATTTCATCAAGCTTTAAATGATCTTTAACAATAGATGTGAGATCATAACGCTCCTTGGTAAATTTGATTATTTTTCTTTTTACAGAATGTGGCTGGCTGATCGTACATGTAAAGTTCTATTCTTTGCAATGCTTGCATGGTTGGTCTTCACCTCAACTGACACGATAGGATACTGGCTGGACTCTGCCAAAAGCGGGGTTAAACTACTGCCCATCATCGGAAATTTTGCTTGAATATACCAGATACTCTGAGGGAGATATATATGCACATATACAATGGACTGAGTTACTTCCAACCTGGGAGCTTTGTATATTCCGAAAATGGATTATTCCAAAAACAGATTAACTATGAAGAAGGAGAAATGAGATTCCAAAATTCGACTATTTGACAATCTCAGTTTACTTTCGTTTGGATGAGATGCTTTTGGTCAATTTTCACTTGAATATTGCGATAGTGAAAGATTTAAAGTTTGCATTTCTACTTTTAAAGAATGGGCTTCTTTGGGTCCATAGCTTTTAGGAAGTGACAAAAATTTTTCAACGCAACTAATTTTTTGTGTATTTAATCTTCTAAGTAATTATTTATTTAACTAGAACTTTTCAGTGCAAAGCTGTTTGACTATGTGCTGTTAAGAACCAAATGGAAAGCTAAAACATGAAGTTTACCACCTTCTCTCAACAGCTTGAATTTAAGAGCAGAGGCTGCCCGATAGAAAATTATTTCGAATACATTGATGACCTAGATACTATTGTATCTTTGAAGATAAAACTGTGTTAGTCCAACACAATCTTTAACTAGGATCTCTGAAACCATTGGACATGAAGATTAAGGTAATTTGCATGGAACGAAACCAACCCCTTACGGCTTAAGATTAGAAAGGCGAAAATTTTGGTTGTTTTAACTACTATGACCTTCGATTTTACATTGCTGATAAGCTATGTCATGAATTTTGTAAAAATTGACCACTGAAAATAAAAAACTCTTTGACAACTGTCTTCAGATTGACCTTCCTAGGAGATAATTTTTGCCATAGTGTTAACATCGACCATCGATTCAATGTGACTAAGATTCTATGATAAACTCTATAGCTATGAAAAAGATTGCTAGAATCATGATTCTTCTCAGAAAAATCTTATGATCCGACTATTTTTTAATAGTGAGCTCTCATTTTGCGTCTATTTGAAAAGACTACTTCCACTACTTTGAAAAAAGTAATTCGTACATTCTTAGCAATCTTCCAATCTACTTGACAGACACTTAATTTCAGGCTGATATTAGAATTGAGTTACCAAGTTCCTTACATTAGAAATGTGGCTTAAAATATGCCTCTTTGATTTTGGTCACTTAAGTTAATGGCCATGCACTTAAACGGCTCAATTTTAAGTTCTATGAAAGTTACACAAGATAAATTAAAAACTAAAGGGGCGATAATAAGTTGTAGAAGAGATAACATCTTTTCTTTTAAATTTTCTTTGAAGCTTTGAGTGATAGAAAACCAGTCTAGACTACACTGGAGGGAGAAAATTGAGAAGTGCTGGCAAAGGCAGGTCTGCCCTGTGGAAATGGGAGATAACGAAAGAGATTTCGATATTTTCCCATATAATGTTATTTCTTAAAATCTTCAGGGTCAAATGACTAGTCCACTCTTACTGGATAATGTTTTCGTTTCATGATATTTCATCTTGTTTTGTCTCAAAAGACCGGCATTTTAAAAGCTATTTTAATGGAAGGAAAGAGCTAACTAATTGAGGCATTGAGAATGAAAAATTGAGGATATTGTCTCAATTATCAATGCTAAGTTGCGATGACTCTGTACATTACTCAATGTTAAAACTTTTGTTACATGTATATATGGATTGTCAGATGTATACTACTTGCGTACTCGCACAGTTTGTGCTAGATTTACTGATTTATATTGAATTTACTGTTTTTATGTTTTCCACGTTGAACAAATTTATAAATAATAATTTTATCATAAAAGAAAAATATGATATTGTATTTCTTTCTCTTAAGATCAGGCAGTCTTCCTATCGTCGGTTCTAGTAAAAGTTTTAGTACTTCCCACGACTAGGATATGTTCTGAATTTATGAAAACTTCAAATTAGGCCAGTACTTCCTTCTTGGAAAAAAAATTATGTAAGAAAATTAGACTAAAGAAAAGTAAATTTTTCTCAGTGTAAGACCATTTATTTCATTAAACAAAAAATTATGTAACGAAAGAACTTCCAAAACTGGTAAAACTCCAAGAAACGCAGGACTTGAAGGCATAATTGACTTTGGTATTTCTCCGAACTACATTTAAAAAATCATAAAATGAATAAAAATCCAAGATTCAAATTCAATAAATAAATAAATAAAAATAATACTGCGATTCTATTTGTTTTCCTACTACATGTACGTCTAAATTGAGACTTGAAACACACATAAGTTTAAATTTGCCAAAGATTACGAAGCTCCCTGTAAGACAGCAAATAATTTTAAAGACTACCTAAGTAATTCCTGAAAAACATAAATTTTGTTCAAGTACGATCAATTTTTTTACATGAAGAAGGTGTGCAAGTTCCAGTTAAGGTTTATTCAGCTAAGTACTATGACAATGAACAAGCTTTTTTCATAAACAAACTTCAGCTTCTTTTCAATATTCAGGTAATAAAAAACAGCCTGAGGTATATCATTACAAACCTCGTCATTTTATGATAAAAAAAAAATAAATGATAATATCTCTATGCCCGATGTAGCATGAGAATTGAAGGGGCATCACTTGATTTTTTTTTCTAAATAAATAAATAAGGATGTAATAAGGAATTGTACATTTTTGTTGGAAAAAATCTTGGAGTAGGTTATCAATCAAGAACCACGCAACGAGAAAAAATTCTAAGATTTTCACCGCCAACATCTTTTGACAATGGATGCACATTTTTCAGCTTCTTAGCTTATCAAACTATAAAAACTACTGCCAGGCTTTCCTCTCAATGATGAAACACTATTCTTCACTCATGATTCATTTTAAAAAAACAAAAAACCCAATATTTCAAGGGGAAAAAACATAATAAAAACCAATCAGAATTGCAAGATCCTAAAATTAATTTCAAATTTCAAAAGCGGGATTAAAACAGAACTGTTTCTCTTCAACTTCATTCGATGCAGAGTTACAGGGTTAGACATTCGATTTCATCAAAATTCTCTCAATTTAAATGAAAAACTGTACAGCTTTTAATCTGGAAAATCTATCTTTTTAAAATAATATCAAAAGGAGTAATCTGTACTTGCCAATCAAATCTACGATGATTTTAATCGATTGGCCCAAAGACCTAGGTGCCTTATGGTTCGGATAACATTATTCTTACTTCACTTTGGAGTTGATATTCTTTGCTCCTTATGAAAGAATACCAAATGTAAAAAACCCTAAACTCTCCGTTGGCTCATGTAAAAAAATAATAATAGTAACAAATGCAACAGAAAACTAAGAAAAATAAAAATAAATTCTCTACCCGCACATGGAGCTAGAGAAACAAAGGCTCTGATCAAAAACTCCACCTCTAACTCTCCGAACAAACGATAATTTTTGCAAACGAAGGTGTAGTTTTTGATTCACTTGTACAGTTTAGGTGACCTTTACTATTTCTTCTGCAATCCTTGATTTCAACTTCTATCTTCTCTCAGTGTTCCTTAACTTGAAACCTGCACTTCTGCTTGGCGTAATCTTTGGTTGCTGGGTCGAGAGAACCAGCAAGAGAACACAACAAGTCAATAATAAACAAAGTTTTGGAATTGAGAAAAGTGATCGAGAACAGTAAAAAATGGAACAAACGTTGGGCACTTCAACGCAGAGACTGCGACAGTAGAAAAGAAGGAGGTTTCGAAACAGAAACAATAAAAAATTAAAAGGATAAAACTAAGAATATTGTTTTTACAACACAGCACTTACGAGAGACCGTTACAAAGGAAGCTATAGTTCCGGCAAGGCAACTATGAATCGATGAGCTGTATAAAAGCTTACAAAAAGTATCAAACAGGCTTTGGCGATGAGGCCATTTCTTCAGTTGCGAGAGGTACTTTGTCTCCTGGATCCAGATTGCATTCAGGATTAACTTCACTGTAAGAAAAAATGAACAAATATGAACAATGATAAAGTTACCGTGGGACATGTAAGAAAGGAGAAATTAACGGCGTGAACACATCTTCATTTATAAAAACAGGAATAAAATATTGAATGCAGCTTTGTCTGAAATATCATACAAGCTTTTCAGAAACACTTGACAATAATGGACCGAATGCATTCGTAACAAATATCAGCTACTCCAGTCGTCTGTATCCTGAGAATGCAAAGCAGGGCTTCGCAAAAAGCCTGTTCCTTCAACAATTTTTTTTATGTGTACTACATAGGGTACCGACATTAAATTTTGAATTTCATTATTGCCTGCAAAAAGTATTGTTGTAGCCTTCATTTCTTCCAAGTTTTGCAGAAATGATTGAAGAGAAATATTTTCTAGATAATCTTTTCTTTTAATAAGATTTTTGAAAAAATCGCAGTATTTACAGTTCAAACTTATGTTCTGAGGGATGAAAGGTTTAATTCCAAATTGTAGCCATTTATAGGCAGGCAACAAAAGATTGATTAAAACTTTAAATTCTAGTCAGCATGAGAGCCAAAATTATTCTTTGTTTGCACTCTTGTTAATATCCTAAATCATCTGACAGTAATACAAAAAGAAGTGCATAGATCGACATTGAAACTACTTGACGACATATCTTGTCTGCGGTGGTTCTCCACTTCTGTCTTATTTTCTTAAAGGAGAACAGATCAACTTGATTCCTTTGAGTTTTTACAGAAGATGCTTCGCACTGAGTAGCAAAATCATCAAGGTTTAAAGAATTGGCGATGAGGAGTTCTCCAATTTAAAAGTAAAGTATGAAAGGAAGTCTCTAAAATTATAAACATAAATGCATGGTTTTGCACCATTGATACATAACAATCATGCAAACTCAACTTTTTTTCTTCCTATTGGACTTCCACTACTGGCGTAACTTAAAAACTCTCTGTGCGCCAACTTGTACTTAAACCATCCTCTTGCTAACGTTTACCAAACCAAGAGGCTGTAAGAAAGGGTAAGATGAAGGGCTTGGAGGATGAGGCGCATTTTAAAAAAATTGAGATTTTAATGATTTCAACTGAAACAGGTTTTAAAATAGCTTCTATGCAAAAATCCCGCTTAAATCCAATTTTAAAGAATCAAGAGGAGAGTTTAAACTTTCTTTCCGCCATAAGGCTATAAGTGATTTTGAAACTTTAAATAACTATTTTTTGAAACTGTAAAAAGCTGCACTTCTGCACCTTGTCTTCCAAAGCCCTTAAATGTTGTTAATATCAAGATTTCTTGACAGTAAAGTCTATACTGAAATAATAGAAGTCTCAACATAATAGAAAATAAAGAACTTACCTATTCATTATCACTGGCTTTTCATTTCCTACAATTCCTAAATTTTGTTCACTAACAGGTTTAAAGGCCACAGCTTTTGGGTCGGGGTGTTCCTCAGCGTCAGCTAACCTATCAACGCAGCCACCTTCTCCCCTTTCATTTATCACAAGATTTCTCTCGGCAACTTCTGCCCTGGACGTTGCGTTGAGATCAGACTCTGCATTGGACGTAACTACATCACTGCCCATCGAAAGCCTCAAGGTGCGCATAGCATCTAGCGCTTCCAAAAACCTAGAGTGCGACTCAGAGGACTTGGATGCTTCGCCGCAGTTGGAATCGGAGGATTCGCATTTTTTATCTGGACTAGATTCTGGAGTTTCTACACTTGATACCGGGACTTCGGATGCATCCAGTGTGCCGGGAGCTTTGTTTGAAGGCTCAGGCGTTCGGAAAAATTTGTGAGTCAGGCACTCGGGAGTTCCGAAAAACTTTTTCATCATGAGCTCTGGCGTTTTCAAAGCTTTGCCTAGAAATGAATTTGGCAATTCAGAAGTTTTGTCCGCCTCAGGTGTTTTGGGAACGTCTTCAACATCAGACCTAGTTGCTTCTGGATTCTCCGATGAAACTGTTTCAACTGTTGCACTATCTTCACCTGCGTTTTTTGAACTTGACATGTTCAAATTTTGGTCTTTGTCTTTTGAGGTGTCTACAGTTTTGTCTAAATTGGACTCGGAAGTTTCTGCAGATTCCGCTTCGAGTCCCGGAGTATTTTCATTTTGATCTAGATCAATACCTGACGAATCCAAAATTTGTTTCATATTGGATTCTGATACTTGAAATGCTTCATCCTCCGATGGATCATTGACCTTGTCAGCTGTAGATTTAGGCTCTTTAAAGGGGTAGACACTGGAACATTCTGATGGATCGTCAGGGACCGAGCTGCGAGCTGACGTCATGAAGTCGAAAATCTTGTCTACATCCGACTCGGACACTTCAGATGTTTTACTGAACATTCCGAATGGTCGGTCTGGAGTAGATGAGGTATTGAATGTTTTTTTCTCGCTAACTTTAACAGAGAAGGAGAAGGGATCTTTATCCATATCAAACGAGGCGCTCTCGAAGTTTCCAAAGTCATTATCGTTGAAAAAACTGTCCGGCTGCTCGGAGCTGAGGTTTGAAAGCGTTTGACTCACAGCAAAAGGATCATTTTTTGGTCCTGAAAACAAAAGGAAAGAAGAAATAAATTTACTGTTAAGTAATGAGGGACAAAGCTGCCACAAACTCAGAAAAGCGAAAAGGAACTACTTTATATTAAAAGAGTCCTACAGCAGGAGCCTTAAGCAAAGAAAAAAACAAAAAAAGGCTGCCTTAATTGTAAATTTTCAAATTAACAGGTAGATCTTACAAGGGGAACTTACGGACCTGCCGCCTCCGATTGGGCTGAATTTTTTTTTACAGACTCTATGGACCAATTCTAGAGGTCAATTTGAGCCGTTTTCCCGAATGCGCAATAGGAAGGGCGTGAAAAATTCCCAAAAGTTGCGTTTTCGGCGTGTGATTTGGTCGTGCGGCGCGTGGCAACACTGAAGCAGCCTCTTGTACCGCTTTATCGGCCTGAAGGTTTCAGCGGAAGTCCGGAGCCCTACTGCACAGGTACTGGTTCCATGATAGAGGTGTCCCGGGTTCGATCCCCGACTTTTTATTTTCCGCATGATCACGTAACCTTTTATTTTTAATTCTTCATCCGCATTTATAAATCAAGCAGTTCCGATCACTATCCCCCCCCCCCTCATTTTACGTACATTTTCCCCCGATATTTATTCACATTGACCACATATAATCGTATGAAACTTCATTGATATAAATTAATTAATTAAAAAGCAAAGGGCCAAAATAATGTGTTTCTTGGCGGCCCTTGCATGCACATGGGTTTGGGGTTGCTCTTCGATTTATTTACACATTACATATTTTTCCAGGAAAACATTGGAAGATAATGTAGTAACAAATAAGGTTTTCTTTTGCTTTTTAATTCATTAATTTACATCAATGACGTTTCATATGATTATATGTGGTCAATGTGAATAAATATCGGAGGAACATGTACGTAAAATGAGGGGGGGGGGGATAGTGATCGGAACTGCTTGATTTATAAATTCGGATGAAGAATTAAAAATAAAAGGTTACGTGATCATGCGGAAAATAAAAAGTCGGGGATCGAACCCGGGACACCACTATCATGGAACCAGTACCTGTGCAGTAGGGCTCCGGACTCCGCTGAAACCTTCAGGCCGATAAAGCGGTACAAGAGGCTGCTTCAGTGTTGCCACGCGCCGCACGACCAAATCACACGCCGAAAACGCAACTTTTGGGAATTTTTCACGCCCTTCCTATTGCGCATTCGGGAAAACGGCTCAACTTGACCTCTAGAATTGGTCCATAGAGTCTGTAAAAAAAAATTCAGCCCAATCGGAGGCGGCAGGTCCGTAAGTTCCCCTTGTTAGTGTCTTGTAGTCTTTGATGCTTAAGTTCAATTTTTTATTCTTGAGGAAAGGAACCAACTTTTCTATTTATCTCCTGGATCAAAAATTTCATAACAGGGTTGCCACAAAAATTTGGAAATGATTTTCCCTGACTTTTCCAGGTTTTCCCTGACGAAAAATGGAGAAATTCCCTGACCTTTGAGAACGCGCGCCATGTTCGCACAGCCAAATTTACACCTTGCTAGCTACCATTGCATTAATGTAGCGTCTCATTTGAAACGCGCTTAAGCTAAGGAGTCAGAAATTAATTGTAGAACATTTGGAAATACTAAGAGGGTTGTTAACTTTTTCTTTTAATTTTGATGCTCTTGACTTTCTTGAGCAACCCAATAATTGTTTTAGAAATGAAAACTTTTGAACGATTGTTCTTTTGAAGAAACACTCTAAAAAAAGGGGGTCTTCACTGGTGTTTGTCTCTCTATTTATCTCTCCCTTCCCAGGATTTTTCAAACACCTATTTTTAAAGTGAGCTTCAAATGGTTTATTTATTCAAGAACTTTGATGCTTTGCTTTTGCAATATTCCTATACACTCGAATTACTTTAAAGAAGAAAATTAAACGGTTAGTGGTTAGTCATCGGTTGTAGTTGAAATTTCAAAAATACACACAAAAACGGCTGCATAATTTAACTCTTGAATGCATCGCGAGATATGCCACTTCATTGCAATTTATATTGCGTTCAAAACTGAAAAAAGAAAGATTTTAAGCAACTCGTGAAAATTGTCAATTTTTCCCTGACTTTTAGCTGTTTTTGGTCAAATTCCCCGACTTTTCCAGGTTTTCCAAAGCACTTGTTTTCCCCCTGACTTTTCCAGGTATTCCCTGAATTCCCTGAATTCCCTGACCGTAGCAACCCTGTCATAACCTTGTTGAGTGCCAAGAATCACAGAAAAAATGTATCAATGCAGATTTAGATCAATATTAGGAATAAAGAAAATCTTCCATTCTAGGCTTGATTCTAAGGAAAGTCTAAGTTTTCTTTAAATACACAAATCTTTTCTATTCTTGTGCTATATCATGCTAATGATTGGTTATTTTAGAAATATTTCTGTCCAAACTATTGAAACTAGTGCCAATCAATGCATACCATTCATAGTTTCTGTGTTGGTATTGCCGTCTGCACCTGGCGACCCGAAGTTAGATTCAAAATCTGCCCAACCACTGTTAGCATTATCATCGAAATCCTGCTTCCACGGATACGCTGATACAAACGAGAGATCAAAGTTCATTTTTTCTGTATCTGTACCTGGAAAATACGAGAGAAACAAATTATAAAACAGGTATCACAAAAATACAGAAGTTCCATGAAATAAGTTATGGTTCACATAAGAAATGCTAATGCAACCGTCATTTAAATATAGTCAATTTTTTTATGAGCTCTACAACAACGAACTCAAACATTATTTTAAGTGGACAAGAATTATCAAAGCAATCTGTGGAGAATATAGGGATTGAATTGTTGGTTAAATATGATACATGATACATTTACACTTTTCTTTCCAGTGATTGAAACACACACTAACACACCAGAAGAAAACAAATCCTACTGCGTATAACACAAGACTAAAACGCAAGAATATGCAGGGTCACTATGTTGTTGCATATTGCACATTTTTTTTTAAAAAATAGACCGTTTTAGAAATAGACCGTCATAAAAATAAAGAGCTCCTTAACACTCAATTAGAGAGCTATGTGACGACATTGACAACACCGCCAATCTTACTCAGTTCATACAAGAAGAATGTAGTGAAAACATCTGATAAGAAATTAGCTGATCGAGAGGACCAGAGCCGCAAAAATAACTGCGCCGGCGCAGCTATCACGCCGGATTTTTGAACCTTTCCATACCAATGCGGTCACCTGAAGATGGGCGGCCTGCCCGCTTGAAATGGCAATAGTGCGTAGTGAACAATAAGTAAGTAAGTGCTATATAATCGATTTTCAAAAAAGTTTTAAGTTAATCAAATAATATGCAGGGTGTCTATTAAAACAGGCTGGCCAAAAAGCAGTACTTTTACAGTACTTTTTAGTACATTCCCAAGAAATTCAGTGAGTCAACAGAAAAATTCAGTACTTATTTAGTACCTCCAATTGATGAAATTCGAAAAATTTCAAAAATTTGAATTTTGCTCAAGTTGCGAAAAAAATTCCGAACTTTTTGCAGAATTTCCACACTTTTTCAGTGCTTCCAGACCGCCCTGAAGAAATCAGTACTATTTCCGGACTTGTAGACATCCTGACATGCTAGCAAGTTTCTGGAACTCTACAGTTGCTGGCACTCCCAAAAAATGAAAGAATATCTTACCTCCTAGGAAGGGTGCATTCTGGTTGACAAAGATCTTTGACTCAGACCTGCAAAGAAATTAAAAGGTACATCAATAAAGCTGCTCCGACATATTCACAGTTTGTAAACAATTTGTTAACACCTGTTATCTACTCAACTGATATTTTTCAAGGCAGAAGAGCCCTATGCTTCGTGTAAATGATGTATTTCAAAGATCATCGATTATAGAGTAACCCGAGGAGATAAATAATAAAAAGGCAAAAACTATTTAATTGGAAACCTTCTACGCACTCAAGATATTGGTGAGTAGAGATTGGAACTAAAATTCTGAAATAAAAATTGTTGGATTTATCAAGAAATTCAGATTACCTTGCTGCCATTGAGCAACGGTAAATAATGAATTTACTGACTTCAAAAACACATTTATAATTTTAGCAATTACACCATGCCTGTTGGAGGGCGAAAACAACCACGCACTGATTTTTTTCAGCACCGATTGGACTAGGAACCAAGCCACATCAGCTATTGCCAAATTTAAAAGGGCAATTAAATTTTTTACAAGAGAGAATTTGTGCGGATTCCTTTGGAAAATTTTAAGGAATTAGCCTCTTACTATGCAGAAAATTCACTGAAATTAGCACAAAAATCCGCTCGACCGTTTTCATGTGAAAAATTACGTTACCCAATTACATGTAGCAATAGCTAATGTGCCTTGGTTCCTTTCTGCTTAACGAGATCCAGTTGATACTTTCATAAGATGTTTTTTGGTCGTGTAATTTGTAGTTAAAGCAAGGATAAATAGCTTGTCAGCAAAAGATTTGAATTCAATTATGAGGGTGACATTAAAATTTATAAGATGAGACTCACCCTTTGTCCTCCTGAAAACTGAGGTAGCCTTTTTTGTCTTTCTCCTTCCTCTTACGCTTTTTGTCCCCGCTGAGGCCAAAGTTTTCTTCAACACCGCCTTCCTCCATGTCTTCATCATCGCTGTTGTCTGCATCCGCTTCCCCATCATCATCATTATCATCGTAAGATATCACATCATCGTTCCAACTTGTATCTAACTTTTGTGCACACATCTCCCTGGGGTAACAAAATCGAACACCATCAAAACATGGTCACAGGAAAAAAAAGGTAGGTACGTTTGAGTGAAAGAGCAATCATGCCAAGAATGTTTCAAAGGATATAGCAAACCCTTCCAAGGATAGTCTTTTCTTGAATTTGATAAAGCTTGAAATTTAGCTTTCTTTTACCTGAGTCCACACTAAATAAGTTTGCGCACTTTTAGAGTGTGACAGAAGATTCACCATCTTTATTCTTGTTTTTACTTTCAATGTTAACCTGAAGAGAAATTATCTTCTACTGCCCTCTAAAAGTGTTTGAACTTATTTGACGCAAATTCTACCTCCAGAAAAGCAAACAAAAATAGAAAACTTTAAAATAGAAAAGATACTCACTCGAACATTCCTTCATCGGTATCGTTGCTCAAATTGTCTTCTAAATTGACATTACTCTCCCAATATGACTCAGTTCGGAAACCTGAAAATTTCTGCAAAAAGAAAAATGAGTAATAATTACGAAATGCAATAATAAAGATCTATAAAATGAAAAAACAATGATAAAATACGTAAAAGAGCCAAGAGCTTAATTTAGCAGTTATGTATGCATCTCTCTAAAAATTAGAATTTGGAGGGTAGCCAAGTGCTAGAAATAATGTAAAATTTCTTTAAAAAACTTCCATTTTATTAACAAACTTAGACCGAAGCTTTTCAAAGCAAATGCTTCATCATCAGGGTCACAAAATCGATATCACAAAGGCCATAATTTAAATTTCAAACAAGGTAACAGATTTCATTGATGGTAACAATTGATAACAAGCTATTAGATCAAATATAGATCAAATATAGATCAATATATTCAGTGCTACTACCTTCAGACATTGCATTATAACGTTCGCTGATTTTAGCTCTCTAAAAAAAAAAAAAAAATGACGTAGCTCACAAAAATACAATTCCTTAATTTAAATTTGTTTTTGTGGTGAAGCAGGCAATGTCTGCGGTCCTTAGCATGAGCACAAAAAATTTTTTTGGCAGGAATTAAATGAGCAATTTAGTTTCCAAAACAACATGATCAGCTTGAAGATAACGAAAAGGGTTTAGAAACATACTCTGGTTTGGTCAATAACACTCAGAATTATTCATAGTTTTTGAAGGAATGATCAAATGAAAAACAAGAGTCTTCCTTCTAAAGTTCATGCATTTATGGAGAAAAATAACTTTTGGATGTTTAGTGGCATGGCATGAAATAAACGACGATATTGTTTGCAATAAGAGATTGATAATTTCGCTTGTTTTCAGTGTCAAAAAATTATGAATGGTTTTCACCTAGGGATCCCTGAAAAATAGGAATTTTTACTAATAAAGGTCTCTGTGACTGTCAGGAGGTTACATAAAGAATCCGAGGAGGAAAACAGTTCCAACAAGTAATAATTACCTTTCCGGAAACTGACGTAGTTACCTCCTCATCAGGTTGGGCATCGCGAGGGTGTACACCACTCTGGAAAGAGATTGAGAAAGATCACATTAGACTTTTAATATTCTAAGAAAACTTATTAGAAAAGATACAGCAAAAATAAATAGCAGGTAAAGATAACAATAAGTAGTAAAGCGGACAAATTGGCCTGCCACAAAATGATTTACGGTACAGTGCTCTCTCTTTAGTGGAACTCATAAGATTGAAAGATTCATCAAGTAAAAGGAGAGAGATGAGGTGGAAAGAAAGAGTGCTGTATTAAGAAAGAAAGAAAAAAAAATTATAAAAACAAGGCTGAAATCTGTAAGACTAAAATGCAGAACATCTTGGTGTCTCTTGACGACATTATTACCTTTTTGCAAAAATATATAAACAGAGATCAAAAATTAAAACTACTTCTGTCTAAAACCATTCTGATTTGTTGAAGTATACAGAACTGAAATTCAATATTTTTCGCCATTACATATAAGGTTTTGTGAGCGCAAGTTCCGAACTGTCATACTTGTGTACTTTTGTTTATTTTCCTTTTAATTCCTTTCGCAATTACTGAAGTTAATGTACATCAGAAGTTACCGATCTAAGCGCAGGAGGTAAAAAATAATTTTAAGGCAATGAGTTATGCGGTCAACTGTAGACTGTTTGCACTTTTTATTCAGAGTTGTTTTTTTGACTCTTCCTGTTCTCAGAACAATTTAAGGAGCATGATCCTTCAGTGTAAAAACTAAAAAGTTCATTCACAATCCATAATTAAACAAAAAAGATGTAAACAAAGTTTCCTCACTTACCAGGCACTGTTTTTGAAGTTCTAGGGTAGGATTCAACTCGTCTTGGACGAGGTGATTCCATTGGATAAGTAAATCGGGGTCGATTTCATTGAGCAAAGATTCTAAGAATGGGTTCTCTTTTAAAGTAGAGTTTATCACAGTCGCTATTTCAATTAAATGTCCCATGTACCCTTGTCTTCTACCATTTTCACTCCTGCAACAGAAACATTTAAGGATTGTAGCAAAAGTCAATAAAATAAAGTACCTAATGGTTTTCCTAGAGCAACAGGGTGAAAAAATGCCTGATCTTGCAATTTTCTGCAAATCACAATAAAATTGAGACAATCTTCAGACATAAAATCACATCTTTTTAATGCTCATCATCCGTAAACGTCGGGCAAATGGGGCATTTTGTTGTGAAATTTGACTTATAAAAATGAGGCAAATACACCCGATTCCCAGAAACAGTCCACCATTATGCAACTTTTTGTACACTAATAAGACAGTAAAATACAATTTAAGAAGAAAACTTGATACCATTAAAATAAATGTCGATGGATTTAATTGGGAGATTGGGCAATTATTTGGTATACCAGGGTCTGAAATTTGATAAATTTCATTCATACATAGAAACTAAATAAAAAATGAACTGACCCCAAAAATGTCCTTGGTTTTTGAATAATCACTTATTGAGGGTATTATGACAGTATTTAGTAATTTGCAAAGGAAAATGTATTTAAAAAGGAAATGCCACCCAACAACAACACAAGGCAGTAAATATTTTCACTATTAGATCTGCTATTTTTCTCCGATTCCCTACATTATAAATAAATTAATACTATATACTCGATTCATCATACACTTACAGATGAAAAAATAAAATTTCATCATGCTAATTTTCTATTGAGTTGATTTTTTTTGTGTTAATTGTGTTCATTCAACTTATATATAATTTCTTGCCTTGCTGCTGAATAAAACCAAATATTCACTTTGCAGATGAAATCTCTAAAAATTTCCATCTGTCTTTATTTTCTTCCTCTCTTTAAGAGCGCAGCAAAAAAGAAATAGAAGCAAAATCATAAGTAAAACCAAAAAATTAATTTTTAAATAATGACCGAGCAATAAGAACTGAATAAAAGCAAAACGGAAGGATGATAGACAAAAGAAACTTACGACATGCTAGCTTTATTATTATCCCATAATTTTAAAACAAATTGTATAACTTCACAGTCGATGAAAAGCTGTAACAAATACAAAATTGAACATTAGTAATAGTAAATTTAAAAGAAAAATAGAAAGGGACAAACATTTTTGAGTGAGGGAAGTTGAGAAATGCTCAACGCACTCAGAACTTCCTGATATTATCCCAATGACATCGAAATTCCTGGTATTTTCCAACAAAATTGTCAAAATTTGTCAATGATGATAGACACATGGGTGCCCAAAGGACCCCGCACACCTCTTGTGGGAAGCTGCACCATGACGGATTGACTTCTGACTTATGTATTTCGATTCTCCTCAAGATGCTGATCAAAGTTATAATTGCGCCAACTTTCTACGATGCACCGCTTTCGCAAAAAATCAAAGAGAAGATTCAATTATTCGGCAAATATGAATAAAAAAGAACAAAGCATTTGAGGACAGGTCCGATGTAAATAAGGAAAAAACGTAGCGTGTGTCCGTCTTCTTATCTGTACCTGCCGACTCAGGGACTATCTCCATCCCGCACTCGCCCAGTAGACGTTCAGACTTTCCTGTTCTTATGCTCCTCAAGAATCTGATTTGGATGGTTGGGCAAAACGGCGTGCGGAATCCAAGATAAGACTGCCGCTCGGTGTGGGAGTCCCCATGATTTCCTTGTTGACACACAGCCGCTTGTCAATCGAGCACTGAAATGAGGAATCTTTCTGGCTTTTCATCACCGAATAATTGAATCTTCTCTTTGATTTTTTGTGAAAACGGTGCATCTTGGCGCAATTATAACTTATGATCAGCTTCTTGAGGAGAATCGAATGACTTAAGTCAGAAGGCAATCGGTCATGGTGCAGCTTCCCATAAGAGGTGTGCGGGGTCCTTTTCTAAAGAATCAACTGATAAAAAGTTTTTTTCACACCATTTCTTTTTAAATATTAGATAGTTTTTACTGAAAATCCCCTGTATTTATAGCTTACAGCAAGACTGTCTGGATTAAGAATCTTCAACTCCATCTAGAAAGATAAAAAATTAAAACCACAGAACTATTTAGCGCCAGACTCAGTGTCTTCTAAAGGTTGGGCAGTAGGCTCCATTTTCATGAAATCTTATCTATAGTCTAATCGTTTATCTATATTTATTTTGTATAACGGATCCACTATCTGAACTAGGCAATCATGATATTGATAATTTGATCGTTGAGGAGTCCAAAAAAAAAAGAAAGAAAGGGAAAAAAAAAGACGGAGAAAAAAAATTGACACTTCAAGAAATAGATAAAAATAGACTTACGTATTTAATGAGTGAATTGTCTTCACTTTTCCTTGAGTTCACCGGTTTTAAAGCATACATGAGACAATTCTCAAACTGAGTATGATAAAAATTGTTCCAAGGATAACTACAGAATAAATCCTAGAGAGACAGAAAAATAAAGCACAAAATTAGCAGTGGATTTTTAAGACAGTGTATTGGTTGTGCATCAGTGTAAATTTTAAACTTTCATATCGAATAACACGATGCTCAGTTCAGTTTATTGATTTCGCTGGCAGTCAACTCCAGACAAAAATTCTGCTTTAATGATGAGAGAACAAACCCTGCAAAATTAAATTCGATGTCATGTAGAAATGGGAGAAGGAGATGAAGAATAACATTTTCTGTGATTGATCGACGGTTTAAATTTCACACATTGTGGAGTGAGTACCAAAAAATACCTAGATTATACAGGAAAAAAAAATGTTTTCCAGTGATTAAAAACTTAATTTAAGGAATTTTCGTGAGAATACGAACTGATCCACTAATAGTTTCTACAAATAGATGAATCATGTAAAATTCGGACTTTCCAATACTTCAAGTAAGGCTGCTGTTAGCTTTACTTCACTTTGTATGTATTTGATAAATGCTACATTTACCTCTCCAAAAAAAAATGAAATAGCTCAGAATTCTTAAAACTCCGGAATATTACTAAGTCATCAGAATATCCCCAGTAGCCTTTAGTTCAGTTGAAATGCCACTTCAAAGTATGAATTCCCCGACTTTTTATTCTGCTTCAAGTATCTCATTCACAAAGGAGGAATCGGACACAACATTCCTTACTTATCTAGAAAAGATACTTTTGGAAAAACACTCCTTGAAAAGAGCCTCACCTAAGTTGAGTCGAAATCAGTTGAAAACAAAATTGTGCAAAAATCTTACTGGATGCAGACTTACCAAAAGCGTTTGGAAAATGTTGTGTGCTATTAATTCATTGATAAATTCCTGATGATTTAAAACAATTAACGTTGCTAATAAGCTAGTAATTCTAAGTCTTGTGTTCCCTAAAGGAGGGCCATTCAGAGTCTTCGAGACGAAGCCTGGTTTCTAAAACACAAATAGCACACAGTAAAATTAGACAAGAAACAAGCTTACTATTGAGAATGTATATTTTTCCCTACAGAATGTTTTTGATTACTTGAAAAGGTGTGGATATGGGAATCCACAATATTTTGCTCTATCAAGCTTTGAAGATAGACATTTTAATCTGACATTAGAGGAAGCAAATGATTTCAATATCAGTGAAGGGTACCTCATAGAATTTTTTTTAAACCAGTTCTGATTATCTATTGATTTGAGAGAGGACCGGTTTTCAATCATGAGAGATCTACTTTGGTGCATTCTTTCATTTTGTCTGAGGCTCATGGTCATTTTTGTTTCACTGTTACGAATCATCATATTTTCTATTTACTCCAGGCCCAAATTCGCGCACCTCCATGGCAGCATTTTGAAATTTTGTATAATACTTTGATTTTTCAAACAAAGACCAACAACGTAAATTTAAGGGGATATATTTAATCAAGCTGAGACAAATGATGAGAAATTTTTACATTTTTCTTATTAGCTCTCCTGTTCATGCAACAGGATTGCAAAATAGCAAACCGAGTCAATAAGATTTCCAGTTCTTTCATTCATATTCTAAAGTAGACCTCAATTTTTTAACTTACCGAAAGCGGTTCTTGGAGCAACCTGTGCAGAGTTCCTAAATATGGGATGATCTCACGGATAACTATTGACTCTATCTGGTACCAGGGCTGAGAGGCATCTGAACCATTCCCATTTTCGTTTTCCTTATTCTGTTCTTGGGTTTCCACGGCTTTTTCGCTCGCATCATCACCATATTTCATCACAGATAACGGATCCGAGTCTGATACTTTGTAGTCCATTGTGTCAGAGTTTGTTAAACTTGACCTACACACAAGCAAGAGAGATTTAATTTAGAGAATTAATGATAGAACTTAAATAATGCAGGCCCTGTTGATCTATGGCTAGGGTTTAATAATCTGCCCAGTAACACAAAATTCTATTGTAAATTGCGTCAGGACTAACCAAATTTAAATGTTTCCTTTTAAAAGCTAATGAATATTAACACATAATGACTGTTTTTATTGTCTGAACTAGGGTAAAATGGTCGCAATCCTCCGTGTTTTAGACAGGGCATTTTCTTAGAAATGCTGTGCAATAGAGTCAAAGGGCCTTCTTAGGAGCTTAATGTAAGACACTACTTAAATACATGATCAATAGGAGGCACTGGTGACCCAAAGATTGACAGAAACCATGTTTTAAAGCATTCAAATTCCGCCGTTTTTAGCGTAATTTTTCAGCTTGATAGGAACAATTCTGCAGGAGCAGGAAATGTGCCAAGCACCCTGTATCGATTTTTTCACAGAGAGTACCACATGGTAGGAAAGTAGGCAACAATAAAATAAGCGTAACAAGTTGAACTTTTTGCAAAAGATGCATAAATTAAAGGTGACTCTTCAGAGGATTCACAAACTCGGCATTAAAATTAACAAAATACATTAAAATTCAAAACTTCACAATAAACCTGGAGCATTGATGCACCCATTACACAAATGTTTCCAATTATCTGAAATGGGCCCATGATTAGAAGTCCTCGCCTATCACCTGTAAAACACTTGACTCTTATGGCCGAGATCCTTGGCATGGCTAGAGGAACCAGCATGAAACTGCCATCAACCTTGCAACAGGAAAAGTGTTAATGATGTAAACATGTAAGTGTAGCATAATGTAAACATAAATAAGGAGAGCGACTTACATGGAAGGTAAGAGCATGAGAAGAACACTAATTCCAGCAACAATACTAGTTTCTTTGAGTTCGTGGCTTAGAACTATTTCTAAAAGTAGTTTCACAGCATTGGTTCTGAAAAGAAAGTCATGGCTTAATACAGAAGTTTTTTTAAAGCACTCTAACTATCAGGTGTACTAATAGTTGTAAACCATAGACTTGTACTATAACAATGATTACTGTTTACTTGTACAAGTTACTAGATAAATGAATACTAAACATCGGATGGAAACTTGGCCCTTTCATTGGTTTATTTTTTATTTTCCCAAGAGGCGCGGCCATCAGCTCAACATCTTGAACATGTGTTGGCTGTGATGGAGCTGTCGGAGACAAAAAAACATGACCTAAAGGTGATTCCTCCCATAAAGTTAACAAACATCGATATATCGAACAATTTTTGCTAAATTACGAGCTTTGCTTTTCTTTCTTTGAAAAAACAGAGAAGTAACAGTGTAGAAGCATACTTCAGCTGTCTATTGGCAAAAAACCTCTTCCGAAAACCGTAAATTAAAGCCAAATGAGACTGGATGCAAAATATCGCATTCGACCAATACTAATCGAATGCGATATTTTTCGTTTAGTCTCATTTGGCTTTAATTCACGGGTTTTGGAAAAGATTTTTCGCCAATAGACTGCTGAAGTATGCTTCTACACTGTTACTTCTCTGTTTTTTCAAAGAAAGAAAAGCAGAGCTCGTAATTTAGCAAAATTCGTTCGATATATCGATGTTTGTTTACTTCCTGGGAGGAATCACCTTAAAATGAGTTCAAACTGAAAATGGGTCTGTTGCTCGCAATTTTTACACATTTTCATAGTTTAATTGTCTTCTAGGAGAGGTAACATCTTTTCGGATGAGTTCTTAAGCAGAGACTTCAGATTTCAAATTATTTACAGTATTCATTAAACTACAGTTCCTCTAGTTAGAATCACTACAAATAATCCAGACTTCAGTGAAATCATTAAACGATAGTGCTTAGCATAGAAATCGATTTTCAAACTGTTGCTATTTCAAATATGAACTTAAGCTGATCAATGTCTACTTACGATTCCAAAATATCGACAATCACATTGGGCTTGTTAACATCGACAATGAAGTCATGTATCATATCACAAAGTAGTTGTGCAGCGTTGTACTGACATACTGGATCCTGATCAGGATGAAGGGTTTCTATTAATTGCGTAATGAGACCTTCACTATACAGCCACTGAAACAGAGAAAAAACAAAGTGATGGATCCATTTTACTTCTATTATTTTTTATTATCATTTTTATTTAACTTTTATTGCACAATTGAGACCTAAAAGTAAAGTGAAAAGGTCTCAACGTCATCAAAAGCTGTTTGTGCTGAGATGTGACGAGACAACCCCGCATGGTCCAATGCACAAAAGAGTTCATGGATTAACGTGAGATTGCCAGTTTTTGGCAACTCTCCACATCCCTGACCTAACATTCTGCAACTTTTGTTTGCTCCCTATATTGAAAACGGGCGTAAGAGGCAAGAGGCTCATCTGTATCAATGAAATTAAAAGACCCGTTCATCTTTTTTGAACATCCTTAGGGAAGAAGATACATATTGAAATGAACAAGTTTTGCAGAAATGGGAAGAACGATTGCGGTGCTGTGCGGAAGTAGATACTTCGAAAAATAACCTGGTGTCCAGTCGTCCGGTGAAGAGGAGTCATTGTTACTGATCTCAATAAGATATATTATAAAGCTGATTTTAAATAACCATTTAAATCTTCTTCTTTTTTATCTTTTTTTTTACAGGAAAAATATGCTAGAATTCCTTGAGGGGTCAGTTTGACTACTTACTTTTACAGTACTTTTTCAGTACATTAATAAGAAATTCAGTACTTCCTCAACAGAAAAATTTAGTACTTCTTTAGTACCTCTATAGGAAGAAATTTGAAAAATTTCAAAATTTTGAATTTCTCGCTCAAATTGCGACAAAAATGACAAAAAAAATGAAAAAAAAATTCCGGACCTTCTTGCAGAATTTCGGCACTTTCCAGTACTTCCGGACTGCCCTTAAAAGTAAGTACTATTTCTGGACTTTCTGGAAATTCTGGATTTGTAGACACCCTGCTCATGAGTTCTGATTGGTCTTGTGTTATCGGTATTTGCTAGGGCGCTATCTCTACATAAGCCGCATTTTGATATCTGCTACTGTTCACCCATTGCTGAACTTTTGTGACACCCTATGTTGGCAAGGCGGATAAAGAATGGTGGTCGCATTTCGATTTTGGCTGCCATCTTGAAGCACTGTGACGTCAAGAGGGTACGGTTTTTGCCATGCAATTCGAGGTTGAGCCGGCTCCCCCGGCCTCGGCCGGCCCATGTACCCGATGTACCTGATACCGTGTGACGTCCAGAGGGTACGAAATGCGACCACCATTCTTTATCCGCCTTGCTATGTTGGTATAAAAATGCAATAATTGACCGAAAAACAAAATGAGATTAACTGTGACTTACAGAGGAGATACTAAGCTGCATATCGGAATTATCAGCTTCTTTCACCATCTTCAAGATGAGCTCCATAATAGCTGATGTTCCAATGTGCGCGACCAGTTGTTTCACAAAGCCCTCCTTTCCTTTCATGCATTCCAGAACTCGGAGACAAACATACTGGTACATATAATAGTCCTGCAACATCATAATGCATTGAGATTTGTTAGTTCCTCCAAGTTTAAAACTAATGATTTACTTTCAAAGTAAGCTTTAATTTTCCTCTTACATTGCGAGATTCATGATGCTGAATGATGAAAGAGTTTTGGAACCTTTATAGATAAAAGAATGTGATGAACGCTGGCAATTATAAATCGATCATTTTCAGCGATCAGTGTTTGGAACTTATAACAGGAGACATTAAACCGATTAATTGAGGTTCATTTTACATTGGAATTGGTTTTACGGCTTTATTAAATTTCAATTGGCTTACAAAAGTAATGGCAAGGGGGGGAAAAAGATTGAACTGACTTTTTGGGAGAACTTTAAAATAACTGAAAAGCAATAAATCACGGAGGTTCTTTACAAAATTGCAAGGGATAATTACTCTTGTAATATTTTTTTGCATTATTGAGCTCCCAGAAATTAAGGAGGGAAAAGGGAAAACGCTTCCCTAATTACCCATTCCTTTCCTTGTACGACCTGCAATTCAGAGTTATCTTACATTTTATACAACTCTGCATTATATTATTATACAACTCTGAGGAATCTTACTCAAAAACAAAAAAGAGGGGCTCTACCTGATGGACAGAACGTGTGAAAAATGAAACGATGGTGCGGCTGAAGAAAGACGCAAGGAGGGGGTTGAGGGGCGGTTTCTGGTCGACAAACGCCAGGAGATTGTCGAGCAGATGTTCATTCTCTGCTATGTGACGGCTGATGACGATGGCGTCTGTGGTAAGGAGTTCGCACGCAATGAATGGATGCCGGTACTTCTCATTATCTGGCAATTCATCGCTGGGCTCAGTTGTGATTAAATCTATGAGTTCCTCTAGGATGATCGGCTGGTATAAACTGTGAAAAGCAATACAGAACGAGTCAGTTACAGGAGCAGAACTACTCAAGACTTACAAATCAAACAGGCAGATTTAATCAAAATCCATTTTATGCCCCCTACAGGATTACCATAGAATTTGGAAAATGAAATTCCCTGACATTTCCCTGACTTGACTTCTAGGTCACATTTTTGTAAAATTCCCTGACAATCGAGAATAAGGCAGATGCTAAAAAGTACATGATTTGCAACAGTTTTTAGACACTATTTGGACCACGTTTAACGGAAAGGAACCAAGCCACATCAGCTATTGCTAAATTTAACTGGGCAAGTCAATTTTTTACAAGAGAACGTTTGTGCGAATTACTTTGAAAATAAGGAATTTGCGCCGTACTACGAAGAAATTTCACTGAAATTTGAACGGAAATCTGCCCAACTGTTTTTATGTAAAAAATTAATTTGTTCAATTAAAATTGGCAATAGCTGATGTGGCTTGGTTCCGTTCTGTTTAACGCCGTCCATTTGTTGTTTGAAACGTCAGACCCATTTTGGAGAAAAAAAAAAGGTGACTATAGTCCACGCCACGAAAAGTGGCGGGTGAGGGGCGGAGACAGTCGGCCGGTCTAGTCTATCGTTGAAGGGTTGAAGCGCAGGTATTGGCCCAGTCGTTACCCCGTTTCAACTACGGGCCAATACCTGCGCTTCAACCCTTCAACGATAGACTAGACCGGCCGACTGTCTCCGCCCCTCACCCGCCACTTTTCGTGGCGTGGACTATAGACAATTTTCGCCTGACATTTTTGTAATTTTCCCTAACTTTATAAAATTCCCTAACACTCCTGAAATTCCCTGACTGTGGCAACCCTTCCCCTAATCATCTTGTTACTTTTTCTTGTAAACTTTTGTGAATGGGCTTGCCTGTGAATTTGTAAATAAATAAAACAATAAATAAATAAAATCAGCGAAACTACATCAGATGTTGGCCAATTTCTTCTGATGTTTTGATTCTTAAACAGAAAATCAAGCATTACCGAGACTTGAAATTTTGTAAATATATTCTCCATGATCTGGAGATAATTCACGAACATTTTCAAGGCATTAGGTGGTTTAGTTTTCTGTTAAAAAATAAAACATGAGAGAAAATTGGGCGAAATGAAATGCAGTTAGCCTCATTCCGGTGAAATTTGTCGATATAACGAAAAGAAAGCGCTGAAAACTTTTGTGATCCTGAATGTACATTTTCCATTCAATTTTCTTTGGAACTTACATAGAACTCATCATATGATAAAACAAGATTCCTTTATTCTAAAACACGGTAGTTCTAAAACTGAAAATTTGTTTTCATCAATATCTGTTCAGGGTTCAATGTGTGGTGCAACCAAAGGAGAGAGAAAAAAATATCCTCTCCTCAAGATAGCCTTTCCTGATTTTTAAGATATCTTTGTACCTCCTGAAATGTTACGTCAAATGAACACCTGGGGTACTTCAATATTCACATTCATGTCATCCTAAAAATTGAGCTTTCGGCACTCCAACCATAGGGTCCAGAGATAGGTATTCATCTCACCATCCCATAAGGCGTTAAAAATGAGGGGATTATCAGTAAACAAAATATGAGTTAAAACACCACAGTATGATTTCTTTTGACTATGAGCCTGTTGCAAACTTTGGCTAGAGCAAAAATAAGAGTTGTTTCTTAAAGATAATGTCTCAGAAATCATGATGAGCGCATCGGCAAACTCTGAAACGTGCTCCCAACTTCACTGTCTACGTAAGAATATTGCGTTTTTTAAGATTTCCGCTTCCAAAAGGATACTGGTGAAGATTTCCTTAGAGGAGTCGTTCCATTCAATCCTTGCTAAACATGGCCAACGCTTTCGCACACAAGTTGAGGAGAGCACAAGGTTAATCAAAGCGGAAATCTAACAACACGAGAAAAATGTGAATGTAAACTTGACAATTGTTTACAATTTGTAAACAAACGATTGTTATCAGGAGGTTAGAATCATCGTCCCGTCACATGTGTTTTGGCGGATTGGCGTCGGTTATTTTGAATATTGCGTAGTGTTTTTGTGAGCAGGGGATGGATGGAATGACTCCTCTAACCTCAAGTTACCACCTGTGCCGTCGTATCGTTTTTGAAGCGGGAAGCTAAAAAAAACGCAAATTTCTTACACAGATTGTGAAGTTATCAGTGCATTTCAGACTTTGCCGATGCGTGATTTTTGAGACATTACCTATAAGAAACAACTCCTATGTTTGCTCTAGTAGCAGCTCTATAGTTTGCAGCAGGCCTATTACTCATAAATATTGATGTACAACAGGATGGAAGAATAATGCTGGATCCACACTATTCAGCAGAGAAATCAAAACAAAAAATTGTGATTAAAGTAAAAGATGAGCTCACTGACCAAGTGTGATGCGGTCAAAAAACCCTGACTACTACATATTTCTCAGCAAGATCCCAGGTTAGTATTATGATGCATCTGCTCCAGCTGAACACTGTGTCCCCCTGAGTGTTGTACTGAAACTCATTCAAGTTCATTTTGGTGAACAATGCTAATTTTTTCCATTTTATGGCTTCGATTTTCTTTCGAAGTAGTGTGGACCCCATTAGTCTACCATCCTGTTACTTTCAGAGCTCAGACCAATTTTTTGGGTTTTTCCCTTATCAATGTACATAAGGCAAAGCTTACGGTTAACTTCAAGTTATAGACTCAACATCTAATTGAGACACTGGATGCGAAAAGGGCACTTCTCGGTTGCAGAGTCTCATCTAATATTTCATTCATTGCAAGGAAAGTGAATGCATCTATTTCACTAAAAAATTTACAGAATATTCCTTATGATTTTACAATTTTCTATGGAGAGAATTCTGGAAAAATCACCCATTGAATTCTTCTCCAAGGGATTAATTCACAACAGAGATTCTGAAACACTGCAATCGAGAAGTACTCATTTCGCATCCAGTGCCTCAATTTAAAGCATTTGCTTCATGGTTTGAAGGGGTTATTGACTTGATCAATAAAAAAGGGCTGTTTTTCATCCGCACTGCAGAGGATCAAAATGGAAAGCAATGAGACGCCTCACTTTTTTATCTCGATCCACTGGCGTAGTCCAGCCCGTTCCTAGCGTTCCAACACTAGGACACTTCTCACAAGGTGAGTCGAGAGCAGTTACGTGCGATTCCTAACCTCAGTTGAACCATTTTCAAAACGTGAAGAGCCTGATCCATCGCATTCAATGCTTTCCATGGATAAAAAAAAAAGCCCTACGGACATCGAGTCCATAGGACTAACATTAAAAAAAAAACCTGTGGGGATGTAAATAAGAAAATGCAAGTATGAAGATAAAATACTTACAAATCCAACAACTTTTTGTTGCCGTTTTTTGCATCCTGGATAACATTTTCGATATCTAACACCTCTGCAAGCGTCAAATTCTGAAGACAAAAAAAAGAAACACAACTCAGAACTAGATGAAAATACTTCAGTTACAACTCTAGCAAGAAAAAGAAAGACCTTTCTAAATGAGGACCACATATTTTATTAAAAAATGCAACATTTACTCCTTGCTCTGCAAAAATATGGATTTTATGTAAATTTCGCACTTCAATGGCAGTAGATGACAATATTTCATGAAGAAACAAGGCCTTTCTATTTGAGGAATCCACATAAAAAGAAAAATATGACAGAGGCACTGATGTCTACTTATAATTGTGCCCAGAATTTTTCAAAATGCTGAAACATAGCCTTTCAAAGCTTTACAAAACAAGGCTTTCTTCAAATTGATGTTTTATTTCCCTGTAATATGTATGTGTGCTGCTCGGAGAAGTTTTTTTCCTGAGAAAAAGTATGACTATTGAAGAATACTGATTAATTGAATTACCTCCTTAGACAAGATAGTATCTGCCTGCGAAGAGATATTAACCTTCCAATACGCCATGTAGGAGGCAAAGAATCTGAAAAAGAAACATTTTAATGAGTATAACATCATCATTCCAAAACACTGGATTGAAAAAAAAATACACTGTCAGTTCATTAGAAATAAATGAAGATATTTCACGGAGAAACAAAATGTTTCTAATTTAGGAATCCACATACAAAGAAAAAAAATAACAGAGGCACTCATGTTCACTTGATAGAAAATTACACACATTTTGTCACAAAATTAACATATAGAGGAGAGTTTAATGATGTTACGTAGTATAACTGCACAGAACAATGATCCTGACTGCAGTGGAGATTTTGAGACTTTTCGGAGAGACCGCTAGATCAAACAACCCTAATTAGAGACAATAATCATTTTAATCGTTGGCTGATAGAGCAATAGTTGGACCACAAATTTGTTTTAGCTTGCTAATAATTTCATTTTAAAAGTCAATGAAATTTGATTTAAAAAAAATAATTTCGCAATGCAAAGGCAAGAGACCTTCTCAAGAAAAACAAACACAACCTTCAACCATGAAAATTAACTGAAAGCAGTCCTGGCAGCTATGGAGATAAAGAAAGTCATTACTCATATTTTATCAGCACCTAATTAATTTCATGAAAAGGAAACGGAGACTGTGATTGATCTCTCAAGGGAGAGGAGTAAAAATAAAAACTTTAAGAAGTTACTCGACAAACTGCTGGTAAAAATCTTAGCAAAAGAAAACAAGCTGATGAAATGCCTGTGAACCCTTTTGCGAGGAATAATTGGTGGACATGGTTAATCAATCACAAATTTGAGGATGAAAGTAAAAAACTGGACTTCAAGACTTGCGCATTGAGGATGTTCTATGAAAGATACTTAACTGATCATCTTCTTGCACAAATTTTCTTGAACTTTTATTATTTTGTCCTCCCTGGAAGATCCTCTGCAAAATTCCTACATAAACTTCTCGCAATAATGACAAGAATAAAGAAGGAACAGAACTTTCGAGACAACTCAGCTGAAAATTTAAATTCAATTTAAGATATGAAAATTCCTGCCGTTCAGATTCAGAGGTGCATTGAACAGGAGGACAAGAATGTCATAGCGACCCCTCATAATATGAACTGACTGATCAAAACTCTTAATGATTAACCAATTGTTCCACTTCCAACTTGGCACATAAGGAAGCCCAATTTATAAAGCTTTATCGCTTATACTGAACCAAGAGCAACTTTGACTTGTTGAACGGCAGTTTCGAAGACATGCATTTGCAGGGCTTTCAAATTCATTGTTATAAGCTCAACATAAATCCAGTGATTTGGAAAAAAATCCTACAGTAAAGCCAGCTATGGTCTACATTACACAATTTGAGAAAAAATGAGCTGTAGAAGATAATTAAAGTAACTCTAATATTGAGTGCAATAATTCAAGTTCACACCTTCCACGACAAACTAAGAAACTGCTAGTTTAGTTCCCACTCATGCAAGACAAGCTACCTCACTTCAAAAGAACATACTGCTGGCAGTATGACCAAATTTTGATGCCCCATCAAAAATCTGCTTCAAGAGTTGATTTCTTCGGTGGAGTAAATTACGCGTTGTCAAAACAAAGAAGAAGACTTCGATCAGAACAAACAGTACTAAGCCACTCAAGATTAATTAAGCATTAAAGGAATACAAAATTGTCCATCATCTTGTAGCTAGCTGAGGAAAAGAGAAGTCGTCATGAATGACTCTACCAGACTGATCTCCTACGCTACTATCATTGCTCCTCATTTCCGAATCAACAGTCATTAGATAACAAGTGGGAATCTGCGCTCAATTTTGCATCCATCTGGGAGCGTCATCTAATTAAACAATAAAGATCACTTTCCAGGACGAGACCCAAAGATAAAGGACAGAGTGAAGCAATCGTACATCTTCAATGATTCGACAGTTGTGAAGAGAGGGCGATACCCAGATACACTCCCACAAGTTAAGTGATAAGATTAAGGTAGCCGAACCTTAAAGAGAGGTGTGAAACAGTGGTGAATGTGAGTTTAAGAAGGTAATTTAAATATTTTAAATCACCAAAACTGTAAACAACAATAATGGTTGATGGGTCATGCCATCAAAATATGAATTTTTCAAGAGGAGTGCTTCAGGTTACTCACAAGATTTGTATAGCTGATCAAATTACGTCATGATACACGTATCAAACACATGAAAGAGATATAAAACAAATACTTTAAATAATAAACACCGACGATTTTAATCTCGTTATCAGAAATCTCATTGCACTGAAAAAGTGAGATCAAAGAACGACAAAAAAAACACAGACATGGAAAAATCTACTGCGTACAACGAAACGTGCGGATGTGTGTGTGAAATCGGGCTCTCCGTAGTTCATGACAACCTCGTCGACGCGCTGCAGTCGCATTCTTGGGAAGTGGCGCGCAATTTCAAAAACGAAAGAGAGGCACTCGCAAAAGTACACGTCCTAACATCGGAAAGGGTTTGGAGATAAAAGATTTCCCTGCTTTTAATAAGTCTTTACATAAATGCAACGCAGTCCTATGATAGAGTGGGGCATCATTATATTTTCTGGAGGGAATCGTAAGAAATTTAAATCATAAGAACGATATGTTTGAAGTTGGATTAAAAAACACCGGGCAAAAACGCATTCAGGCACACACCTTCAGAATGGGGCAAATACTTGGATATTAAATTAATGAAATTTTCTCTGGTTTTTATACACATTATAAAAAAAATGTTACATTGCATCCAACCATCAGTTGAAGATTTACTCAATCTGTAAAAAAAATTACAGTAATGATTTAAAAGAGAAAATTGCTACCCTCATGGTAGTACAAGTGCATAGTTAAAACGATTTCTAAAATTTTCCTGATTGAACCCGATCTTTTAGTGAAGCACTTCATCTTCATAAATGTGGACGATTCATTTCCCATCCTTATTTTCAGCCCCCCCCCCAAAAAAAAAAAAAAAATATGTTCAAAGCATCAAGTTGAGCTCATGCTTGATGCATTTTTAGAAACAGGACATTGCTATGCATCCATCTACTTTTCTTGGTGTGGTGATTTTTCTGACTGACCGATATTCCTGATATTTATCAGAAATAGCTGCAATTGGGCAAAGTATTTATTTCAATAATTCTTCAACTCCAATTTACCTCCATAAAATGTACAGAGATATTTGTAAAAATAATACCCTTCCATAAACCCGAAAAAGCATTTTGTAGTATTTCAGAATATTTGGATGGTTCTTTTTTGTAGTTTTTCCTTATTCTCTATTATTCTTACATTTCCGTCTCTCGATTTGCGTCTTGGCAGCTGAGTCTTTGACTCCGTCAGAAATTCAGCCACTGATATATTTTTTTTTTTTTTTTCGATCAAACTTTTATATTATGATTCATAAAGGCACAATTGTATTTTTTCAAATTGTAAATTTTTTTTTTCACAATTTTCAAATCGCCTTCGGGGCTAATCTTGCATTTTATCCCCTATCCTATTACAAACTACTCCAGGTGACCATTGCCTCAGACCATCAAACTCGGGTCACCTGGCTGGGAATCAAACCCAGAACCTCCTGGTCATGGAGCCAGCGCTACAACCACAACACCACAGGAGGCTGAAATACTATACACTTGGGTGATAACCCTATAAATCACTTGTTGTTTCAGCTCTTTCCGCAAGCTATCAGTCTTTTTCATTAAGCTTCTTTTCAAGCTTATCACCTCTAACAAAAACAGCATGCTCTAAACCAGTCTAAAACTTTGGGAGGAATAGCTCTCAGGATCCTCTGAATTAATTAATAAAGTGAGTTTGCTGATTTTCTTGCATACATTATCTTCCTATTATATACTGTTATATGTTATAAGTAACATGATGTTAGGATAAAAAAAAAAAAAAAAAAAAAAAAAAAAAAAAAATGCTGCTCCTAATCCGTTGACTTCCCTCAATTTTTTCAGCTCTGTGAGCATGCTTTTATACTTAAATCCAACCAATCATACTAAAATTCCCACATGAAACATTAAGTCAAAGCTTTTCAGACATAGTGTCACACGATAGACACAATCATGATGCACAATTCACATGATCCAAGTTTTCATCCATTTACTTACTTAGGTCAGCAGGAAAGATAATCATCAAAAAAATGATGAAATTACCGTTCAGAACAGCGTAGTTTTGTTATAGAGTCACCTTTAGATATCTCCAAGCTGACTTCCGTATATGGACAGTGAAACTCCAGACCAAGTATCTCCGTTTGACACGTTGTAAACTTCCTATCATACTATATTTTATGAATAGAGAACTACTTGACGTCAATCTTTAGAAACCTCTGTGATGTTTTTTCCCTGGGCGCAGCAAATTCTAAAAAAACTTTAGGGAATGATGTTGATTTGATCTCCCTTGGTAAAATAGAATAGGAGCGGAGATTTGTAGACACCGCAAACGAGATGCCTGGTTTGGGAGTTTCACCGTCGATAAGGTAATTCTCAGTCGACACAAATTCTTTAAGCTAATTTGTTGCAGACTGGTAAAAAAATCAAATCTTATTTACGTCAACTTTCATCAGTTGGGCCATTAGAGTAAGCGACTCAAGCTGTTTAGAGATGCTAATACAGGGCTAATCGGAGACTGATCCTTGAATTAACATACGATGCATAGGCTCTGCCTGATATCACAAATGAAGACATTATCTTATCTTATATCTCGGCGCATTGCAAGCAGAGGTTATTGACACCACTTTTCTTCAGTCTTCCCATTGGAGTGGTATCGCTAGGCTGATATACATCGTGTCATGTTCAATTCTTCACATGACTTTGATACCAATATGTGTTTTCCGGTGTTGGTATCACTCGGCCAAAGTTTTAAAATTCAACCTCATAAGGTAGAGGAACCTCGAATAAATTAGACCTTGATAAATAGGTTTCATGGGCGAGAAGTGAAATACGTACCTTCTTTATCAAAATGATATGGTGATCAGACGAATTTGAAGTTGATACTGAAACACATGCTCCTTGGACTGACGGATGATGTTCCGAACGATTGATTGACGAGGAATGGAAGTCTTGATATCTTGGCTTTACTGGGAACTTGGAGTGGAAGTTGGATGAGAGTAAGTGTAATAACTTTAGGTATGATGGCGTTAAAAAAAAGCAGCGATATACGTTACATAGACGAAATACCCTGTTGCGCGCAGCGTGCTATCAGCCGTGACCAGTTGAATGGGCTGGATGGAAATGTATTTCAAACGCAAATGAAGTCAGTTTGACTGTAAGTAACGGTATATGAACTTCACTGTACCGTTGGATTTTATCTAAGACTCGATTCAAAGTATCTAAAACGAGCTAACACCGTAGAAATAAACCAAAATTACGAATGAAGATACGGAGACACGATTGAAAAAGAATCAAAACAACGGCCTCCTTGAGCAGTTGGTACACCCGCAATCCCAAATTCCGGGCGAGTCGATCTAAAGCCGTGTTCACACGAACAAACGCGTATTCAGAAATGGACAATTTTATGAATTTTCTTTTTACACATATATCTTCTCCCTTTCCGTAAGAATTACCAAAAATAAATGAACCGCTTCACCCCACAATCATTAATATGGTCGCCGATGAATTGTTTTCTAGAGCTTTGTCTTATTTCATACTAGAATTGCGATTCGCGAAGCGGCCTTGAGAGCGCGAAGCGCCCAAGGAGGTTGGGCCGCGTAGCGGTCAGGGGGCATACCCCCTTGCCCCCCTTGGGATACCTTGGAGGACAAGGCGCAAAAGTGCAGTTTTTGATATTTCGAAAAATAGTTACGTGTTAGAAGTTTCAAAACTACATAGCTTCTTGTGTTGGAAAAATAGGTGAACTGACTTTTAAATGCTTAAAAATTGGAATTGGGGAGCGAATTTTTCACAGAATATGCATTAAAACTAGTTTTACTAGAAATCATATTCATAACTCAATTTTTTCAAAAAGTGCACCTACGCACCTTGTCCTCCAAGCCTCTCAATTGAACTGTCAGCAACCATCGGCCGAGTTTCCATTAGTAGTGAGTGCCTGGCTGTACTTCACTGTAACAGACGTAACAGCAACAGCAATACTTATAAAGCAGAGATGCATTCAAACCCATGCCAATGGACTGATTTTGCGATGTGGATGTCAGAATAAATGTTTTATTTTTTTATTTATTAAATTTTTTTCTTGTATGTGCATTGAATTTTTTTCTTTCATAAGCTTTATTATTTCCCTGTAAGAAGGCTACCTAGCTCTGGATTCTTGAATTTTTTTTTTAAACCACCCTTCCCTGCCTATACATTTTTAAATTATTTAGGTTTAAAATTCATCAGTTATACAATTTTTAACTTTTTTATACTTTTTTTTAAAGAAACAAAATTTTATTTCGATACTAGCCAGTAACTTTGGTTGATACTAAGTAAGGGCATATTTAGAGAGATAAAACCTGTAAGAACTTAGGAGGGAGGAGAGATATGGACAATAAGAAGTCAAGATTAACTTGTAAAGGACAAAAAATTTAATCGATAGTTGTGAGTCAAGAGTACATTTTACAGACGTACATATAACAATTTTAAAGCTAGTAAGCTAAAGTATAAAAATACATATACACTCTCTTTATCAATTTGGTTTTCTTCTTCAAAAATAGACGATTTGATACAAAAATATACTGATTGGTTTGTTCATTGATTCTTGGCCATTTAATTATACTTTCATTTTAAAGAAACGCACTGCCATATTGTGATCTTGGCTTCTGTCTGAATGCAATAACAGGCGCAGAGGGAGAAAAAAAAAACTTCTGATTTCTCAGTTAGAGGGGTTTAATGGAATATAACTTTAGGGAACAAAGTTTTTGACGAGAGAACTTTTTTAACCTCTTCATGAATGATCTATTTCAATTTGCAAAGTCTTCTTTCCTAAGGGTGAGTATTTAGAAAGGGGGTCATCTCAATTTTTTGCATCACCTAAAAATTAGAGCAAATCCAGGCACAGTTTCAGTTATGCCACCGTTCATATGATACCTGGATTTACCCTTGAGACATTCCATCAAAGAAGAGAGAAGCAAAACCTGGAGGCATTAACACGACACTTAACAAAATCTTATCTACAATAAAATGCAAGGATCATTTTTTCCTTATACTTGTACATACATCCAAATGTGCGCTAAACATTTTTCAAGACAAGTCAATGATTTAAAAGTAAACACAAATGATTTGAAAAATTTAGGTAAGTCACTGATGTTTCTACAGAAGAAGGCAAGGAATAATTTGATCGACGGTAACAGAAACTTGTTTTTCATCATGATTGATCAAATGTTAAATTACTGAAAAATTCTCTGGACTTCAGGATTTTATAAAAGCAGTAACAAACTATCTATGGATTTGATACTTTACCTCAAACTGATCTTCGTCTTTCCATGAAATTGGTAAGAATCAATGTTGAAGCAAAAACGGACAACTAGACAAGGTAAAATTCAGACAACAGAGACTGAAGCATTTAAAAATGCGATTCTGGTTAAAATGTTTAAATTATGGTGGTGAATGAACAATTGGGGGAAATCTACAGAGGTATTTAGAAGGCATCAATTTTGATTTGAAGATAGAGGATGAAGTATCAGTATCAATACTAACAGTAATAAACTTTCAAAATTGAACAGAAAACTTTAAAAATAAAACAGAGCGAATTTGGATACAACAAAGATAAAATCGAACAAAACAATCTTCAACAATAATTTATCAACAAAAAGCATGGCCAAAATTGGTAATGAAAGGAAGAGAGGAAGATAGAGCAACCAGAATCGAAGAGACATTTGCCATGAATCTAAATTAGGGAATTTCAGACAATTAGTTATTTCAAGATTTACAGCAAGACTAGTGAAAGCTTGTGACAAATACAGCAACAGTGAATCTCACAAAGAATTTATGATTACATACGACAAACTACGAAGAAATTTTATGGCAAAAGGTTTATGACTGGTCTCTTTTCTTTCTTGTGAAAAATGTTGTCCATCAACTGAGACCATCCACAGGAGAAGGGATTTATGAGCCTAAAAACAAGGGACCACTTCTTAGAGTAGCAGTTGCCTAATTGCAGAACCTACCAAAGAAGTCAAATAAAACAAAAGGGGTACGCGATTTGAGGTTTGCATTTTAAAAAGGAGAGACAATTAAATTGGGACCACTTTTCCTGTAAGGAAGGGTCCGATGTCTATCACAAAGAAATAAACGAGAAAAATAACATAGAAAAAGAAATGGCTGAGCCAGCAACAAAAATAGGGTCTTAAGGACTGTCTTTCTTCGATACTAACAATGGAAAAATCTCTTACTTCCAAGGAAAGAACCATTTGTAATTTTGCAAAAATAACAGAGAAATTGACGGACACTAAAGTTAAACAATTTTACAAAGTTTAATTGTAAATAGAATTGAGCTTGAGTAAGTATTTTGTAAAACATTAAGCTAAAGAGTCTGCCTTGAGGAGCAGATCCCATTTCATGACGTCAAACACAACAATGTTTGTTAAATCCTTAAAGACACTGCGAAAAGAGATGTTATTAAAACCAACAACACAATCAGGCTTTTAGGGGCATGATATGAAAGCGCAATGAAGAAGGGCAAAAATTTAAAAAAAGTTAGTTCAAAAAATAAAAATAAATATCTTCCAGAGAGAATTAAAGACATGGGTCCAATGCCAAGCATTGTAAATGAAACGTCAAACGATAAATAAAGAAATCTCTGAATTTTAGTAACCACTTAATTGAGATCCTAGATAAATTTTATTTAAAATAAACATTTGAAAATAAAAACTAAACCAGAATAAACTCTTCTCTAATTTACACAAGACTTTTCTGCAGGAAAACTGATTATCAGGACATTGAAACGACTTGAGCTGCGAAATAACATTATAGTATAGAATAGACCTACAAATGAAGTGGTACCCACTGTGCACAAGAAGATTTTAAAATAATTCTAGTGACGAATCTTTGAATTTTTTGGCAAAAAATTGATATATGTTTCTATTCTTTCCCCAGTGGAACAAGCTATGGAAAAAGAAAGCTTACAGAACATGAATATGAAATAAGAGAATGCACAGAAGTGAAACTCGTTACTCTAAATTAACTGAAATTTTTCTTTCCTTCTTTTTCTTTTTTCGAACAAATATTAAACTGAGATCAGAGAGGGGTTCATTTGTTGCAATGATAGTAGGTACGGATACGGAGACGAATCATACCTTCGGTAATGATGACGACACAAATCCCCTTAAATTTAACTTTAACAACAGAACTGCATACGTTTTAAAGGGGACTGTTTATATTTTGGCATTCGGGTACAAATCAGCTTCCTACAGAAAGTCCGTGCAGTTATAACAAATACACGTGCAATATACACAGTTCACGTTTGTTGTTAACATCATTATCACAGTCAATGTCACTTGAACTCAAAATTTCAAAACATTCAACAAGTCGAAGATATGATAAAGTTATTTGTTAACTTAGAATATGAATTGTTCAAAGAAAATAGATACAAAACAACTAAGCTTTGTTCAGATAACAATTATTTTGACTCTCTTTGTGTGAGTTAAAATTATCCAGTTTAAAAAGTTTGAAACCACAGAAAGAAAAATGCATACCAATGATATGCATATCAATGGTAGATGTTGCAAAGAGGGAATTTAGGAAATTCTATTAACTAGTGACATTATCACTAAAATTCTCATTGTGTCGACTGGACTTGTCTTAAAATCGCATCTTAATGGTATGAATTTTTAATTAAACTACATTAGGCAATACAGAACTACTATTTCTAGCATATTTTAGAAAAAACATGTATGATATTAATTTTCCTGCGCATACAAATGCTTTTGTGGGTGAGCCAGAAATAGTACTTCCTGGTTGCAAAATGCAGCCCGATTGATAGTAAGAACCATCCAAATTCCGAGTATCTGCATCCAACATTAATGTAGATATATTGGCAGGAGTGCAAAAATGCCCATTAAAATTGGGGTTTAAGTCATAGTACATATTATTAAAAAAATAATTTCCCGCTAAAGCAAAAGATTCAACCATTAAGACACGATTTTGTCACATATGCAGCAGACCTAGTTCTCCCCAATTTTTCTTTAAAAATTAAAAAAGCAATGCGGCTGTTGCTTCATCCAGGATTTGCCTTGAATAGCAATTCCAACATTAAAAAAGATCATAATAGCTTTTTTGACGCATAAACAGAGACTTAAAGTTGCAGTTATGCAAAGAATGCTTCTCATCGACCTGAAGTTTATGACGTCAAAAAAAGTAACGACCCATGGTTCCATCCACCGTGAAGCCAATGTAACATGGCCACCGTGCAATTTATATTCTGAACAAATAATTTCATTTAGAAAAAAAGCAGAAACATTTACTTCGAACAACCATAGTATTACAAGCGTGGCCAAGCTACATAATCTTTCATTCCGCTTGTGATCAGAAAGCAAATAAAAGGTGAAGGGTTACACAGTGGTCAATTTTTGTTTTGTGACATCACAAAATCTTTAAGTATGATTTTCTTCAATTAGAAATGAAATTGAACTTTGAAAGTTCACCTAAAAATTTTATAAATTGAGACAAAATAAGCTGGTATTCTCTTTTTTGTACATTTCCTGGAAGAATATTTTTAAAAAAATTGTGCAACAGCCACATTTGATTTCATGTCTACATACATCACACTCTCCTCAGATTCGGTTTGAATCTAATGAGATGCAATAGAACAAAACGACACAATGAGTGATTTGGGACAGCTGGTCAATTAGAGGCAATATCTGAACAAAATGCTTCTTAACGCTGAGAGTTGGTAACTTTAGAGAGAGCACAAACAGAAGTCCTATCTGATTAATCAGCTAAGTTTTACACCGATCGAGTCTTGACAATCGTCGGAACTGAAGAGCCTGGGCTGAGAGGAACTGGACTTTGCGCTCTGGTAATCATTGCTATCGCTGCCTTGTCTTCAGAGCAACATTTTTCATGGTAGTCCTAAAGGAGAACATTTTAAAAAACCACAAATTATTAACATTTTGAGAAGGGAATGAAAAATGTAGGTAAAATTTATTTCTAAAACGCTCATTGGTGCTCAGAAAACTCTATGAATTGACACAAAATCAAACTTGAAAATAGAGGAGTTTGTTTCGGGCTTTTGATTCCAACAATAGTACTCATTACTCCTGAGTGAGCTCATTAATATTGTATGATACACTCTATGATATCCAGTCTTAATTTATAGTTATCAATGTAAAACAACAATGATGGACCCAAGTATTTTCTCTCAAACATCTTCAGAGGGTAATGAAAATGCAGTTTCCTGAAAACGGAGCAAAACATGGACAAATTTCATGAGGATCTGCCTGATTAAATCAGAAGTTGCCTAATTTGTTTGTAAGATTTATGTTTTTACCAGAAATTTAAGCAAAATTCTGACTTGAAATTTTGTAAAGATATCCTTCTTAATCTGAGGAAAATGCAGAGAGAGTTTAAAGACTTTATGTCGTTCGGCTAAAAAAAATTAATTATGAGAGAAAATTAGGCTTGGGAGTAGAAAAAAAGTAGAGGCACAACAAAAATTTGATGTGGAACTCACCTGAAAACAAGGAACGATGCATAAGTTGGTTCGGCATTCTGGACAGTGATACTTAGTTTTTCGTCTCAGTATCCGCCCATGATCATCGATTGTATTCCAACAGAAATTGCAACCTAAGGCTGGACCAGGTCTAAGAACAGGACAGTGCACAGAGCGATTTCCTCCTTCTTGCACAAATTCTGTTTTAATTGTTGAGTACTGCAAAAAATAAGGCTCATTTAATTAACAACAATCTTGATTCAATAACTTTGGATAAATAAATTAAAATGCGCAGAGCCTAACTGAGATTCTGTAGGAACATGATTCAATCATTATGCATAAAAATTGCAGACCTCCGAGGCTCTATCTGGAAGTTCATCAAAAGAATCTCAAAATTCCTTTTATAAAATATCTACTTGTTTTCCGTTCTTTCATATGGAAATTTCAAAATCCTTCTTTTTCATGTTCGGTAGATCTAAAATCGCAGTAATTGCGATAAGTCGCGATTCGATTGGAGATTGTATCGCGATTTCGTCAAAATCTATTTAGTGCAATATTATCAGAAAAAAAATTGCACAGGGAATTTGCAATTTTATTGACGGTGATTTATTGCAATATTATCAAACAAAAAATCTTGATAAATTTGGATAAAATTTCGATTTTATAAACATAAAATTTCGATTTTATAAAGATAAAATTGCGACAAGGTCGAGGGTAGTTGCCAAGATGTTGATGATCCTAAAGATTTTAATACCAAAAGAACCTAAAAAAAACGCGACGTAATTTCAAACTATCACGATTTTTCGGTTGAAAAATGCAACTTGGGATCTACTATCCTCCCTCAAATGTTCATCCTAGAGGTAAAGCATTTCAAAGGTTTTGGGCGAACAAAACATTTACCTGAGGAGTTGACATGGTGCGGCGCAGTTCTTCGAAGCTTTTTGATGAGCGAGTGGTAGTTTCAGTTGGACTCGAGACGTTGAGCTGAGGGGAGGAGGAAGAGCCAGCGCTGGAGGGAAATAATAAAGGATGAGAGTGCTGTTTTACAAGAAAAGACGGTTGTGGAACGGTTAGCAAATTGCCGAGTGGAGCGGCTACGGGACCAGGCGATAAGCCCAAGTCTGAGTTGTACTTCTCTGGACTCAAATCGTCTCGGTCACCATCACTTTCTTTCTTGATTCTTGGTTGTCGGATGAGGAGTCGCCCACGCTTCGAAGCGACCGATGGGCTGTCCACTGAAACTGAACGCAGGGTACCTGAATCGAAACAGAAAATTTCTTTAAAAAATAGGTATACTAAGAGGCCGTATTTATGTATTAGCAAGAGGAGATCTTAGTGCCAAAAAAATCAAGATAGATACCTTGTTTGAAGGAGTGCTTTAAAAGTATTTTTGCAGAAAAAACATCAATTCTAACTTGAGTTAGAACGGTTTCAAGTCCATGGCTCAAGAGACATATCTTTAAAAAAGCTATTTGAAGTTTCAGTGTGTCATATTTGAAGCTAGTGGAAGCAGGCGGTTGCAATGGGCAAAGGAGATACGGAATAGACTAAGTGACAGCAACCCATGAGGGACCCTATGGTTAATCCATTATTTTCTCCCTTGTCTATAGGAACCACCCATTTTAACCGATAGGATTGCTCCATGCTCACTATGTCTTCTTTGTCTATCGCTTAGTCTATCAATTTCAATTATCAGTTCGCTGGCACAGGAATGTACAGAGTCACCTGAATGAGAGTTTTTAATTGAATAATACAATTTTAATTTATTGACCAGACTTGAAAATTAATTTTCGCTTTATATTTGCCTACTTGTAAAAAAATTTAAATGTTAAACTACACCATAATATTCTTCAGCTGGAGAGAAAAAAGAGAGAAAAGCATCCGAGAGGGATCATTGCATAAGCATAATAGTGATTTTTACATCATAATAAATATTAATCTATGATCTCCAACCAGCAGTCTTTTTTTTTCAATTACATGGTCATTAGTTTTTATTCAAATCACTTTTGCTCATGTGATCGTTAACCCCCACGTCTCTTACAAAAACATGATGGTCAATTACGCAGAACTGGATTATGAGTTGAATTTGGAAAATTTATTGAGTTCAGCATATTCTAAGTAAAACTTCGTTAAATCAAGATATTCTGTGGGTGTTAATTTTGTACCCTGTTTGTGGTCCATTAAGGATCTCTTTTGACTCATGAATGTTTCTACTCTGAAACTTTGGATATGAAAATTATTCGAAATCTGCACTTCATTGTACATAATCTCTTTTGTTTTCGATTAATTCAGTTGATCAAATTGCATTATGAGTCATGGGAGGCTGGAAAGTAGATTATTTGTGTGATTTTTATGTTTCGCTAAAACTTATTTTCCAAAGTCACAAGAAACAAATCTAGTTCAAACGAATTCTTGCCAGAACACTATCGATATCGTCTCTTACCGAAACTGGCGGCAATACCAACAGTGGCGATGATATCGTTAACAGCCGGCTTTATCGGATTTTTGAGAGCTCGCACTCAATGCATTGTTGCCCCGTGTGTCGGTTTATCAGATTACCTGTGATGTTTGGTGGTGTGGTAAGGCTCAATGAGAATGAGCACTAGCAAAATGCATTGCTTTCATGATTTATTAAACCACCATGAAGAAAATTGACTACATAAATTCTTTAGGGACAATATTGCCAACATGCACTGGTTAGCGCTAACCCAGTAGTATCGACCTGGGTTATTCACAGGTAACCCTGACTAACAATGATTACATCACTAAAAAGTTTAAAAAGCTGAAAAACCATCCACGATTTTAAGCTTGACATATGGATATTTCATACCACGAGTGAAAGGAGCAAATTTAAAATTACACACAGTTGAACTTCAAACAAATTTATTTGATTTTGAGAATCATACATACAGAAAACTCCATGCAACAATAAGTTTACAAGAACCGAGGTTCCTTGCAGAAACTATGATACGTTTAAAAACCTACAACAAAATTTACAGGACTTAATTAGAAACTCGGTCGAGAAGTAAATTACAAAAGTAAGAAGCTCTAATTACAATTACAATTAATGGTTTGAGCACCTTTATCACACTGATATAAACTCTTGCATGTGGCATGTACTTAAAAGTCTTCATAATGACTTAAACAATTTATTTTAAATTAATTTAAAAGTGTAAGGAGATATTAGAGAAGCAATTATTTTGAAAGATCAGACCACACTGTGTAACTTTGCAACTCTTGTAAATACTGAAAGGAGGAAACTTAACAGTACATTCAGGAAGGAATTAGAACAGTACGAATACGTCGCTTACAAATAATGTTCCAAGCAATCAAAGGGCCTATTAAATGGTTTACAAACAATTATTCTCCTCTGGGAAAAAGACAGGTGATTTCATCTTTCCTATGTAGATCACGAATTTTAAATTAGAACATACAATTCATGATACTTTAATCATAATATAAATAAAAGGATGTACAGAATGTACAGGAATCTGCTTAAACTAAGATAATATGGGAAAACAAACAAAAGAAGCAAACGGCTGTCAAAGTCTTAGTTAAATCACATATCAATCAAATCGATCGGCAGCAAACCCTAAGGCATAAAAAGGCCACTCCTAGTCGGCCAACCCTTCCGTAAGAGTTGGTTTTAATACTGTGTCCAATGGAAAAATCTCATATAGAAGTTTGACAGAGGTTTTGAAAGTTACTTACTGTAAGATTGAGTTTGAAAATGAGACACATACTTTAAAAAAATTCCTTTTTGAAAGAAAAGAAAACTTCATAAAAAGGGAGAAAAATTAACCGTTGTAACTATGATATATGTATCATCTCCCTTCTGAACTCACTTTCATATCGGTAATATTTTGGAATTGAAAAGTTTGCAAACTAACAGATTAATAAACCATAGATGATAATAAAAAGAGAAGTTCTTCATTAGTTTCTTGATGGTAGTTTAAAGAAGTCAAATCGAAGTTACGAAAGATAGGCAATTGCGATCTATCATACAAACGATAGGAAGGCACACACAGCTGCACTGAAATTGAACTCTTTTTATTGTGTAAACTACAATAGTAAGATAATTTTGGACATCTACAATAACTGATAAATTTTGTATCATATACTTTCAAGGACTTGGAAAGGTTTAAAAATTACTGAACTTCTGAAACTTTTGATGAAACAAGCATTAATATTTACTGTAGTTTGGCTTGAAGACAAACCTTATTATTTTAATTGTATTTTTTTCTTATTGTTGATTTTTTCTTTTCAATCTAAAAGATTCAAGAACATTTAAAAAATCTACTCTACAAGATTCTGAAACAAATACGATTGATCTACGCAAACCTGGCCTTTTAACTCATGATATTTGCTGAGCAATGAGAGCTCTCTCATTCTTCATAAGAATTTGCTTCGTCGATTTTCCAACTCAAAGACTACAGAAAAAGGCATTCGTGAATAGATGGTACATAATTCTAAACTGAGGGGATTACACTGATGGCACTATAAAAGATATTTCGACGGTGAAACTCCTAAACCTTGTATTTGGTTGAAGTGTTTAAAAAATGTCCCCTTCTCTTTTATTTTTTAAAGGAGAACGAATCAACATTACTCTTTGAAGTTTTCTTGGAATTTGCTTCTAACAGAGAAGAAAGAACATGAAGGTTTTCAAGAGTTGATGTTCAATAGTTCTCCGTTTAAAAAATAAAGTACAACAGGAGGTCTGCAATATCACCATGTGAGATACGTCGTATCTGAGTTTCACTATCCATATTTCACCCAGATGAATATCATTATCGTAACGAGAAACATCAATAAAATTAGTACGTACTTATTCACAAAATCAGCGGTCTTAGGCAAAAATTTAATCATACTCGAGGTCTCAAAGACTTGTATACTCTCATTGTTGTGAATAGTAGTTCTCCATGTTATATAAATTAGAAATATGTGCAGGGATCATATTGGCAATTTGCGTCGAGTTCTCGCCGGAGGAAGCGTAGTAGGCTGGTGGGTGATCAAAGTGCGGAGAAAGATATGAATGAGGGGGGTGGGGAATCAGCTGCGGTTGATATGCTTCTGAGGTTGTTGGTTCTCTTGAAGAGGTAACCGCCTCTCGTGAAACTGTAGCGACCGTCGTGCACATTGACGATACAGATGTCGTAGTTACTTCATTCGCTAATTGGTTGCGTTTGGCCTTGCACTGCTTCGGCGCTGGCCGGGTGGGATAGCCGCGCTTCTTATACTCAAGCCAAAGAGAACGATTGTTCACACCGAAAATTTTAGCCGCTTTGCAGAAACCCAGCTTTTTGGTACGGACGGCCTCGAGGGCTTCTTGAAAATTAACATTATCTTGATTCGAGCTCCATTTGCGGCGAGATGTTGATGATACCGGAATTATGCTGCAATCGGGAATGACACAGTTGTCGGGAGAGGAAATTACGACTTGAGGGCGCAGGTTTGGACGTTCCAACATAATGCAACCTGTGACAGCGTTAACAATACTTGTATTAGCGGCAATTCAAGAAAACTGAAGGGGAGGAGGGAGGATCTGTCTCACACGGCTCGTTACAACATGTGACCATTTATAGATTGGCTCAAGGTCGTGATTCTTTTCAGCTAATTGTGTCACAGGTTGCATTCTGTGACCGAGCAGTCAACCGCAATTTCGATGTGTCGACACTTAAACACTTGAATGGAAAGAAAAAAATAGCCACATGATGCACTTACACGAAAACACAGTCACAAAAGAAAAATGAAAATGATGATGGGGTAGGACAAAGTATCAGAAGATAGGATTTCATGACATGATACATTCAAAGATGGTAAATTGAATAATCAATTCTTTCAAAAGTGAACTGGGTTTCATCACAGCTTATGAAAATCATCAAGATTACTGCTGACAGAGGGTAGATTTTACCCCCATAAGTATTCCTTCCAGTGAGAGTCTACTATCCTACACAAAATATCTAACCTCCACAAATTTTTTCATTAGCCTGCCATGTTTTGTTACGTCAATATTGGTGGCACATGGCCTACAGCTCCGCACGTACTTACAGCAATGATTGTACACGAATTTCTTAAATTATGGCGAATGTTGTTCAGAGTAAAGTAGGCTGTCTTTGCTGGAAATTTTTCTGCTGGTACAAGTTTTTTTCAGGACTTCATTGGTGGAATAAACAAAAAGAATACAAAAACCAGATCCATTGGTTGGATTTCAAGGACTGATGAAAAATTTAGACTCAGAGGATGGTTTTGATTTAAAAAATTCCTGATAATCCTGAACAGAGTTACAATTGAACCTCAGTTACTTTAAAAAATACTGGGAAAAAAGAGGAGTACTTAATCCTTCTCTCGGGAAAAATCAGAAATTAAAGGGTATATACAGACTTGGCAGCAAGAAATTTTTTGACTTTTCCAGGTTTTCCACGAACAAAATAAACAAAATTCCGTGACTTTTCACAACAATTTATATGCGTACAGCTGAAAATGCGAAATTTTTTCATTTGTTTCACTGCGAATGACAGGAACACAAGAACATGTTTTTTTCAGATTTCAGGTATTAATCATTCAAAACACTCAAATTGCTCATTGAAACTTATTCTCCGGTTCACTATTCAGAGTCTGACTTAAGGCATCGAATCCCGGTCCACATTAAGACCCGGTTCAGCTGTAAGGATAGCGCTGATGTTTTTCCAGAATTCAACAGCTGGTGGTGGTGCGCCGTAAAGGGAGAGTAGGATGATATGTATGAAACCAAGCACGAGTTATTCGCTCGAAAGAGAGGTTGATTTCAATGCCTACTTTTGTCCATGTTGATTAAGGTCTTCCCGTGAGTGAAAAATTTGAATTCATTGACTATCATGTAAACTGCAAAAGCGGGTGAGCCACTAGTGAGTTAATTTTGAAAGTTTTTGATACATTGAGCAAGTTTTAATTGAAAGTTTGACGAATAAATCATGTGGTGAAGTACTTAGTTCTTTATCCTGTCGAGAGGTCAATGGCATGAAAGTGCGCCTTTAAAAACCCTCCTCCATAAAACTAGCATAGAACACTGTTTTTCAAGAGCGTCTTAGTCAACATAACTGTAATTACCAGAGAAGATGTGTGCTTATCAACAACATTATATTTTGTAAATTTTAGGACGCTGGAAAAAAGCAGATGACGATGAAATGTGGAAAAAACCTCAAAAGGTTCAGCAATCAAGTAAACACATTGCGGACTTGTTCGCATGGCCAAGTTCACCGATAGGGTTTTTATTAGGGGTAAATTTTGCGAAAATGAAGGACTGGTACTATTTTAGAGATACGAGACAAAGAGGCTTATCTGGCGAATGCCTAATCCCTTGCACAACCAGTTTCCCTTCATACTGTGTCTGTAACTACTCCCTCTGTTGACACCTACGCTAAATGATAGCGGTTAGTACATATTATTTACAAATTCTGATGAAAAAATTGAACAAAGTCACAGATACTTAAACACAACAACGAGAGGCAGGAAAAAGTGAACATTCAATTTCATTACACTAGTCAACAATTTGTTTTCGTTGGTTGGCTCTGATTTTAAAGTTGTAATGGGTTAATATTCTTCTGTTGATTCAAGAATCAATAGTTTTCTCTCTAGCAACCGAATTCTTTTTTGAGGAAATCAAAATTTGTTCCCATTTTTTTGGGAGGAAAAATTTATTTTTCAGCAGAGGAATGTGCATAGTAAGAGAGAAAACCAAGGTTATTTATGAATTCAGCGGTTAAAGATACGCAAAAATACACCTGAGAATTTTATTCTGCTGCATTAAAATTATAGCGTTTTTTTTCTAAGCATGCATTTGAATTTAGTGGAAAATAGAATTTGCCCAATAAGGAACACCCTTTTGGGGAAAATTTTGAACCGATGGAGTGAAACAGTCCTCATTTTTTTAATCAGGTAGGAAAATTTACCCAGCAAAAGCTCTAAAATCAGAGGCAATTCTTTGTTGATCAGTATGTTAATAGAAAATGGGAAGACGAAAATGCTTACCTTGCGAGGAGGCTTGTGATGAGCATGAAGGAGGCCTCGATTCTTCTCTATTTGATTTACGACTGTCGTTTGATTCAATTGACTGTTGCTGCAAAGTTAAAATATAGAACAAGTTAAAACAATTAATTACCTTATCAAAGCCAGATTTCAGCAAGAAGGATAAGAAATTAAACAGGGCAGTGAATAGATTATCAAAGCTGCAACAAATAAGATTTTTTTTTTCTTTTCATAGGTATTCAAGATTTCAGACATTAGTATTCTGAAAAGTTTGGATGTTTTTGTAACCAACCAGTTAGAAAACAAGCATTTTTTTAAATTAGTCATCAACAATTGTTTTTCTGTACTATTTCTCAGAATCTTGCAGAAGTTTGAGGTAAAAATTTTTTTCTGCACCTCTGAAATTTCTCCTACAATACTCTGCTTTAGATCTTTACCTCCACATTTTGAAGAGGCAGCCTCTACTTTGCTATCTGCGCAAGACAGCGTGCATCACCTTTTTCTTTGCATAGTGGGGCATGCTTTCCTTTCTTCTTTGCACAAATGAGCGCACAACACAGTTTCAGATTCATTTAATCAAGTGGTGAGACTTTTTGTTGAAGTATTTTTTTATTTCCTCAAAATTTGTCCTGCTGGATTTCCACCTTTAATGATTTTGTTTCATTTTTTCCAGGGAAACTAATCGAAATGTTTGCTTCTGATTTAGTATAAGATTTCTTAGGCCTTGTCTCAACAGGACGTTTCTTGGGGTTTTTCCCAAGTTCGAATCGCAGGCATGAAACTTCTGGGCTTTTTTCCCATTAAACAACACAACAAAATATCTTCTGCTTCTTTTTAAGTCATTCCTGAGACCCCACAAAGACTCTTACTTGGCACTGTGATTAGTATTGACTAACTCAATATTTTTCCCAACTTCGCAAGTGAGATTTTTCCCTGGGACAAATTCTGTGAAACATCTCGTGGAGACAAGGCCTTAGAATGAGTGAGAAAAATTCACATAAAAATTTCAATAAAAATTGTTGGTTGCTTTTCCTTAAAAAAATAAAACAGGAGCAAAGACTTACAACATTGTAATCTGAGATAGCATTTATCCACTTCAGCAGCCTGTTTGTTGATATTTTGTGTTTGTCAGGTAGCCATTATCGCTGCTTTATTGTGTACAAGTTTCCATCACCCCTTTCTTCAAAAATGACTTTATTCATTCATTTTTCAATAGAGCAGATAAACAGCTTCAAAACAAGCTCAAGTTGAGCTCTGTAGCTTAATTAGAACCTGAGTAAGGACTTTTAGAAATTCAAGGGGTTCACAGCCCCCCGTTTTTTTGCTGTCTTTGAGCCCCCATAACTCCGGTTCTATTGGTCATAGAAAGCTGAAATTGTGCAATTTTCATACCATCTTACGGATCATTATGCTCAACGAGTTTCATCAAAATTGGAGTTGGTCATGAAACTTTTGCCAGATTTTTGGTTGATTTGGTATGGAATGGCCCGTGCTTTTGTCAGGTGGAATGGTCGACATACTGTCGGAAGCTCAAGAGGTGTCTTTAGCTTGTCGTGAGTTTCACCAGACATAGGCACGATAAAGGAAGAATAGGACATAGCCGACCGATCACGCACCGCCTTTTAACCTATGCCACCTATGTCTACCCGACAAAACACAAAATATCAACAATCAGGCTGCAGCCATGGATATACTAACCCTCAAAGCAGAAGTAAACATAACACATTGAAACTTTTAACGCACCTGACTCAGAGAACAGCGATCCTCATCAAAGCTTCCTTTGGAACTCAAGTCTTTTGTTTCTGATTCTATGCTCAACTCTCTGGGACTGTGCAGAGGAGAGGGGCAGTCCGCCGATTCAGCTTTCAGGCTGCTTGGTGACGGAGAAGTAATGATAACCCTTTCGATACTTTCTTCTGAACCACCTGGGATTTGTTCCATGGAACTTGAGCCTGAGTTGGTTGAGCATTTCCGGAATCGCTTTCTGCGGATAGCGCAAGGGGATGTGGTCGGAGTTTCGGTCGATAGGGTAATGGTTTTGTTCAGAGAAATCTTCTCTTCCGGCATTTCTGTCAAACCTTTGATTTGCAGCGTTTCTGCAGTCTGAAAATGAAATTATTTCCTTTTTGTTATTTTGTGAATTTAAAATGAGAGAATGGAAATGGGGTTGCTACAGAATTTAGGGAATGATATTCCCTGACTCATTCTGATGAAATTTCCAGACAATTGAGGATACGATAGATGGTTAAAAGGAAGTACTTTGAAATAGTTTTCGGGCAAAATTTGTTGTTCGAAATGTCAAACTCACTCTAGAAAGTAAATAAAGAAGCCTTACTTAACAAATTTTTCCCAACACTTTCGTTATTTTCTCTAGCATTTCCTGACTGGGGCAACCTTACAGAGCCCCCCCCCCCCCCCCCNCCAGAGATAGAGGATTTAAGTGAGGGTGAAACTTCAAAAAAGCTGGAAACAGTAAAGAACAGCTCACAGAAAAGAGTACAGTAACATAATTACACTTGAACAAAGAGGAAAATAAACTAAAAAGTCATGAGGGGTTAGTTGATTCTGCATGATGCTACCTACTCATATTTTGACTGCTTGTTGCTAAAATCATACTTACTTTGAAAATTGAGATCTTGTCATTTTTTTTCGATAAAATACTTAAGATGTGAAAAGATTTTCAAAGAGAGAGGCTGTTCATAAAATACACAACACTAAAACTTGGATTTTTGATGCAGGTCTAAACCCCCTTGAAAATGTATGTAATGCAGCCTTTCAATTTCCCTCCTTCCGTAAGTAGCATAATTACTGGTAATCTGTCCTTCCCTTACTTTTTGTTCGATATGTGAAAAAATGAATAGTGGTAACGATTATATAAGGAAATGAAGGAAACATAGATGAACCAAACACATTTAAATTGTAAATTTTAAAGGAGAAAAGAAAAAGAAAACAACCATCAATTCTACGGGAAGATAAAAATAAAAAGCTTTAGGAGTTAAAGATAACAGCTTTGGACCCTGTCATTTCGAGCGTATCATATTTTACGCACTGTCCCTGATACCTCTCCTTTTTAGAGTTTTTTTTTAAAATATCTCTTCCACCTAATGATATCTGAATACAGAGAGCATATAAAAAATATACCTTTAAGATGGCAGGTAGTTGATCCTCGCAAACATTGACCTCACCATAGTACATGTACTCCACCAACGTTTTGAGATCTTTGTACCGGACATCCTTCAAGATTACGATTGGATGTTGGCAGGCATTCATACTAAGAAGTGTCTGTAATGAAACATTTTTCACTGAACAGCTTAAAATTTTAAATGAAAATATTCAAATCAATCAAAGAGCATTTTTTAAATTGCAATTTATTGATTAGGCTTGCAGTTCCGAAACTGTGACTTCCAGACTACTGATGTCCACTGGACGAAAATGAAAAAAATTAGGAGAACCAAAGAGAAGATGAAAACTGAGAAATGGAGAAACACTATGTTAAACGTCCATTATAATTTTGAGAAAAATGGTGCACAATGGGGCTTTAATATTGATTTAGCTCTTTAGACATTAGGCCTTCCTTCAAATGACAAAATTTTATTTTGATTAGATGCTCCAAAACAGCACTATATATGTACATGTGATAGAGTAAATTAATTTCCTTAACAGTTAAAAAATTAGGTTTGGTTACAATACTAATGAAAAGGTAATGGTTACAACTAAAGGAAAGGTAATAACATTTTTTTAATGTTAAAAAGGGCAAAGGGATGTAAATTTTTTCTACAGTAATGAAGAAACCTTAAATTCTGCTTGATAGACCACTGAATAGAGTTAGAACCTGCAGGACACAGGGAAATTTCAAAGACAAACTTGAAAGCAATGGCTTAATTTTTCACATGCCTATTGATTCAAGAGCTCTACTTGTCAAAAAAATAAAAAAATAATAATAATAAAAAATAAAAAAAAAAACCAGTCTTTTTCTGTCAAAGTGCTCGGTCAACTCATGATCAGAGGGTCAGCCAGCCAACTTCTTCAGCTTCTTAGCCAGCTGACTTTGGAAAAATTTTAATTTCCTCATCTTGCCTTCTTATCGCTTTTTCTCAATAGTGTGGGAAACTCATAATTGTTCTATAGACTACTGTACTTTCCAAAAAGAGAACTTGTCTGAGGAGGGCGGGAACCTAGAAAATGTGAGAAATGAATGTAGGTATCAGGCAAAATGAGATAAAAGAAAGGAAATTACCTGAAAGTATGAACTACATGCTGATAAGACTATTCTGTGTGCTTGAATGTGTTTTCCTTCGGCTGCTAAAGTTACATCCACTAAAGATTCATTGTTTAGCAGACTCGAAAAGGCTGCGACAAAGTTCGGCTGATGATTGTTCCAACGCAAGCAAAACTGTTGTCCAGACATCTTTCTTTTGTTTTTAGTTCCTGAACATGACAAAAAAACCAGCCAGTTAAGTTACAGATGCAGCACAGCTTGACAAGAAGCCAATAAAACAATGGACTCCATTACCTACTCCAGTTTTCCTGCAAAACCACCAGCCAAAAGCTCTTGACATGGTGGTAAAGTAAAATGACCAGAATCGACCCGGTATATTTTGAATTTAAAATGTAAATCAATGATGTGAACGCAAATGATTGATTAGAGGCAAATCTGAGGTAGAAGCTCACGCATCATACATTGAGACAAACGTCAAGGTATTGTTCATGTCACCACTCATCAGTGATGCCATATAACTTTAACCTGTTGAGTGATGCTAACTCAGAGCTAATCAGAGATTGACGATTTGTATGATCCCCTGAAGGGAGTTTATGTACCAACTTTAAAATAAAAATAAAGTAAAATGACGTTTGTCTCAACATACGATGCACAAGCTTTTAACCACGATGCTGGACAGCTGTTGAAAGATTTCCATCGCTGAATACGTCAATCAGTAAAAGAAAACCTTCATAATTTTCAGACAGCTCTTTCATCATAAATCAATTGTCCCAGAAATCTTCATTGAAGAGTTATATACTTATCCAAGAACTATGTGGAATTAGAAGTGTAGATACTTCATGCTAAGGTAACACATCAGATAGATGCCAAACATGTTTTCAGTATGAAATCCTCTCTGGTTATAAAACCTTCATCAATTCTGACACAAAAATTTATCAGTGTGACAAAAAAAATATTTGCCTTTTTTAATATCAGAAGTACTCGCCCTTAAGGACCGTAGTTTGACCGATAAGCAATCCCAGCACAGCTTCTTATTGGTCTCCGAAGAGACATTCTTAGATGGGCTATGCAAAGACAGTGAATGTGTTAAGTATTCAACTTCCTACAAATATGTACTAAAAAGGTCATTTTCAATTCAGCTTAGAGGCTAGGAGTGTATCAGCGGGTGAAACTCACAGATCGTGGCCTCAGGCAATAGGGCTTCGAAGATTGAATCAATCGGAACTTGGAAATAGGAGCCAACCCTGTCTTATTTGTTAGGTACTCATGTCAATGAAAAATTACCTTGGGATTGCACGAATTGATCAGAGTTAAGCTTATGACAGCGAAGCTGTGTTAATGATGAGAAGGCAAAAGAAGAGAAAGTACAGCTGTAAAAAGATGTATTTCTACATGTTGAACTGAGTTAAAACACTACCTCAGCAGTAGTTTCTAACTTAGTGATGGGATAGAAATCTGCAGAATATAGGCTTCGCGAAACTAGAGAGAAACAAAAATTGAGTGTATGAAAACAAATCACGAAGTCACAACAAAACAACAGGAGTACGAAATGACCCGTCACAAGGTCTTGGTGAATCAACTTACAGGAATGCAGGGGCCATGAAATTCGAAACTACAACTACACTTGCGACAGCATTGAAATGAGTAACTCACTAATGATCGATTTACTCAAACGAGGAGAGAATTACTGAAATATTCAGGGAGAAATTACACTCAGCCTGGGCATTTCACTTTTGATATTCAACTTTCGGCCTTCAGAGCAAGGCACAGGAGCAAGGGGTCGGTTTCGTTGTCGCCCGATTGGCCCAAGGTACACTCTACTACAGGTATGGACAAACGGGGTGCCGAAGTGGCAGCGCTGAGAAAATCGGCGATCGAGTGACGTATGAAGTCGTACCGTCCATTTGCCGCACATGCCATTCGCAGTCGTACTCTCGATGCTGTCAAATCTACGCGTTTTGACGACTTTCTAAAATTCCATTTGTCCATACCTGTAGTAGAGTGTACCTTGGATTGGCCGATGACTTATGACTTGATCATCGGTTACCTCAGTATGACGTCATCATGAAGAATTATCATGACGTCATGATGAAAATTGGAGGAAGGGAAGGAGGAAGGAGAAGGAGGACAAAAACAAAAAGAAAACAAAAATGATCTAAAGTGTTCGGCGACTTGATGTTTTTTCGAATCATGTGAAATTTCCTGAAGTTTTCAGAAATCAGTGCTCTTCTATTCTTCAATTTCTCATTAAACCCGTAAGTCTTGAACGCACCCAAATTATAATCCCCTAGATATCCAGGGCTTTTGTCATGAATCACATAAATTTCAACACCCTCTTTGTTGCTATGTTCTTCACCATATCAGTTTACTCAATTTACACTTTATTTCACTGTTTAGAGGTAATTTTAACTCTTCGCAGCTTCCTCTTAGCCTGCTTTTGTTTCCAGATTTCAATGCAACTGTCTAATATTTTCGTAGTTCAATACCTATGTTTTAACAGCAGTTCAGCTGTGAGCTGACTCGTGCACTTAGTAAATGCGCTCTTGGAAGTGTCCTCATCCTTATCAATGAATTTAGCACCTACTGCATAATTTCAGTAGCTTGACACGGAGCATGCTGAAATACCCCTAAAGCTTGTGTCCGACTTTAATAACATGTACTGGTTTCTCGTCTGAAATTCTTATCAAGGTGAATCCATGCTCCGAACTTTGCAATTTGGCCACCACGTCACATTGCTCAGAATAACTGTATATATTTGTCAAAATAATAAAAACCGTAATACTTATTCAAGATTGGGGATCCAGGGGATATAGCAACATACTTGAGGAACGCTCAGCGAAAAAATCTTCTCAAAATTCCCAAAAATAAAGTTGTAACTATGGCGGAGAGTAATTACCATTGAGGAAATGGGAGAGAGAGAGACAGAACATGAGGGATTTGGTTGCGCGCTCAGCCGCCACCGCTGAGCTGAAAGTTTCAGTCGTACCTTCTCAGCGCTTGTAATTCTAATTGCCAATATTTTTGGCTCAAAAAATCAAGCAAAAAGTAATCTGTATCTTATGGATCAATTTTTTGTAATTTGATCAATATTATTTCAGTAATCATCGAAGGAAAGTGAAGTACTTAGTGGTGACTGGTGGCACATCTCTGGTCTTGAACTATCCCTAATCGAACCCTGGATTCACCTTAATGCCAAGGAGTGCTATATTTGATTAACGGCACTCCATTCAATGGGTCATTCCCCCCCC